ATGTTCCCACCAATCACGTAGCTCCATTTTCTGCCTCTAAAAGCACACACAACCCACAATTCCTCTATTCGCTCCGACGAAGGGCTAACGCTCGAAACGTCAGCTTTTATAACCGTAACGGCGGCCAATTTACCATTTCAACTTTGTTGATATATTCAAATTACTTTGTTATTAGTGTTTTCTTCTTACACTGTAGAATCATCTCTATCTCGTAAGCCTTGGAACTCGACCATCCAGGGATACTGTTTGTGGCCTTGCACTTGTAAACTCCCTCCTGCTCTTCTCGGCCACTGGGAAGGTATAGAGTGCTATGAAGATATTTTCCTTTCTTCTCCTCTGAGTGATAAATACCCTCAGTTCCGTTAATGATCAGTTTCTCGTCCTTGTACCAATTCACCGTAGTAGGCAGAGGCCATCCAGAGAAAATGCATTTTAAACTGGTTTCTTTGCCATGGAAAATATCATTTGGCGAACTTGAGCCGTCGTAAATTTCAAGGGCATCTGAAAGAAAGCAGCAGTCATTTTCCTAGCTCGCACATATATCTGAGTAACTAGTTTGAAGACGGAACTGAGTAACAGTCTGTTGTGTGGTTTGATCGTCTGAGTAAGGACTTTAAGCAAACTATGACAGCGACGGCAACTAGAGAACGTGGAAAAACAATAGATCTAATTGGCAGAACAATAGCCCAGCACGTGCGTTTTAAACTTTGTACATATCTTAGCCGTCCTTTGCAAAACAACAACGTGAAATCACCAAAATTTGCGTCATCTGCGAAGCGAAACCGCGGTGGCCAATTATACTACTTTTATGCGTTATGTTGAGTTTGAGGTCTGGCGCCCTATGAGACGGTAAACACATGCATCCATTTTCGAAATTCTAACTAAAAGAAGAAACTCATTTTTTAATCGACGTCTTCCGTGGCGTTGCCGTCCTGACTGCTTAAAGTCCCTAGTAAGTGACTGACGTTTCCCCAAACTGAACGGAAGTCAAGATCAAATGGATCATTTTGATCACCAGAAATCGGGGAAATTTCGAGCCCGGTACCAAATGTCAGCGGTATATCCTATTTCAGACAAATTCAATATGGCGGCGGTGGAAGTGAAGTGAACAGGTAACTTTCTATTTTCGTAAAACCCCCCCAGAGAAAGGCTTGGTACCTTACTATCCCAGAAAGCCAAAGGAGACGTCAAAACAAGGAAAATGGCGGCCAAATTGTGCAGTGGCAGGGACTTATATCTTTCGTGTTCTTCCTTCCTAAAATTGGGGTATTTAAAAATGGTATATTGAGCTTTTGAGCTCTGCCGTGAAAATACGAAGAGTCTCCCGGCTCAAGGAAAATTTGTGGGCCAACATATTCGACCGTTCACGAGCGATTTAGTTGAGCAAACTTCTGCAGGATGCATATCGAACTACGCATTTACGAATCTTCACAAGGTTGTTCCCACGACAAAAGAATTGTAAAACCTAGTGGAAGCAGAATTTCAGAGTTTGTATGGGAAAATGGAGTCAGAATTATGAGTTTACTGGCCAGTACCTTGGGAAAAGGTATGTTTGAATTTGAGTATTTTTTTTCGTAGCGATGGGCGCTTTAACCGATGCAGGCTGCATTTCCAACTACGCAGCGTAAGAATATCCCAGTCTTAGACAGCTATTTTGAAAAAACAATCTTTTCCCATACGTTTTCTTATACTGTTTCGGCGCCATTTTGCTTGTAACACTAGAACCGCCTCCGCCATATTGTCCCAAATTTGTGGCAATGCGGGGAATAAAACAAAAGAAATTAATCATTCATCCCTTAACCTTGATGTGATTCGTTTTATTCTCCCTAATCTCGGAGCAACGTTTGAATTTTAATATATCGAAAAGGACCTATTGGAGTGAAGCCTACGAAACGTCAGTCCAGATTAACGATCAAAGTCAATCAAGTTTCAGGTCCACCCTCACCCTGATGATTAGAGTACACTACTCACGACGTCAATACGTCGTAAAATGGCTCGATGTGCCACAACCTACTCATGGTTTTGTTTTAAACAGAGTAAAATCATAAGTGATTCAACTAAAAACTAGGCGGGACAGCTCGAACAAAACTTTCCTCAGGGATCCCCCCAGCCCACCGTGTCTTCCTCTTCAATCCTACCCAGGGCCCAAGTTGTGTTTTCCTCCCAATGTGGGAAAGGCTGGCAGATTTGATCAATCGGTCACTTACGTGTGAAAAGTATCGAGGTACATTCACATGAAAAGTTTTTATCCTTTGTCGAACTCCAGCAATACAAATACATATCTGTGGAACTGCTGCTGTTTTCCAAACGCTGCTTTGTCTCATTCCATGTCATGCCTGGTTTCAGTCTCCCAGTGATCGAGGAGTTGAGGGTTACATTGGAGTCTGGATCTAACGTCAACGGTTCTGTATATTGACATCCTGATGACGAGGCTCTAGAGCAGGAAGACCTAATTTCGCATTTCCTGTCAGCTGCGGATGACCCATCAGCTAGAAGAAAAGTCTTATGATCAAGTCTTCTTGTCTGTTAAAAGTGACCATGATGAAACGCAGTTCATCGAGAAGGACAAATGCAACCATAATTACGGTTGTGATAATTATATAGACGAATCGATTCTCATTAATTTCTTGAAATAAATTATCCCGGCTGCTTCTTTTGAACTGTTGTTCGTGCATGGAAGAGACGAATTAGGAACTCATTCTGTATTTGGTACTAGAATGATCATTTTTCCAAACTGATGTCGTGTCAAGATTTTTTGTTCAAATTACGTAAGAGTAAATTGCGGCTTATTTATATCCTGCTTCATTAGTGTAAAATTGGAACTGCTCATCAGATAATAGTGTACGCAGCGGCTTTTTTTAAAGTCTGTTAAATCGATTAGTTGACTTTTTTTTTTAAAAAATTTTGAACACGCGAATTTTATGTTAATGTTTTTTCTAACTTTCCTCAATGTCCCTAGACAAAAACCAATTAAAAGAAAAAAAAACCCTGGAGGTCTGATCTCGTCCGTCACCGACAGACTGACCAAAACTGTATCTGACACCGGGTTTTTTAGCTTATTTTTTCAATCAACACGTCCTGGCGGAAATGACCTTCCTCGGGCGTTTTGTAAAAAAATTATACTTTGTAATTAAAAGTATAAAATCAATTTTGCTTATTATCAGGAAATGGACCACAATGATAGCGGTCGTCTTATGAAACGTCTTGCAGTATACATTTGTATCACGGCAATAACCTTTAGTTGTGCATATTTCAATCACTGAAAATCTTAAACTGAGACCTGCCTAGCTGTTTAAAAGAAGAACCTGAAATGGAATAAGATGCGGAAAATCGACCATGATTATATATATTTCCGATTAATGGCAGAATTGTTAATTCCATAATCACTTTTTGGAGCCGCTTTTGCTAAACGTTGGCAGGTCGTACGTGCGTCAGTTCGCTCTCCGTAAACCTACACCCTTCACGAAATAAACCCTCTTATATAGGATTTTTAATTGATAAGCCAAGCTACTGAAGTGCCACAAGTTGTTTCCGAACAACGTTGCTGACGCGTCCAGTATAACTAATTAACATTTGGGGTTTTGAGTACAAACCGAAACTGGGGCAATATAACGGCTTCTAGAAAGATTTTTGTCACTACCCAGAAATCTACCAAAGTGAAATTTCTTTTCTTTAAAAAGTTACCAGTAAAGAGAGGCTTAACTTTGTTCTTGAAAACACTCACAGAAACTGAAAGGTTGTTTAAATAAATAAAAGAGAAAGAAAATCATTAAACAGATGGCAAAACTTGTCTTAAAACTACGTCAATTCTTAATTTGAAGATTGATATCACATGTCACAGCTAGTATTTCACATGCAAAACAAATCCTTCGAAAATCTTTACTGGGGCGTGAATATCTAAACAGTAAAAGGAATAACAGCATCTGTAGCCAGAAAGATCAGTGTGGGTCTTTAGATTGGCGACCTCGTTACATTCAAAAATTCAGACGGACCAAAAAGTCATTGTTACCGCTGATAAATATCTTGAATCATGCGCTAGTGGATTTTTTTGAAATAATTATAAGATGAAAGCTCTCTCCTTTAATTTTAAACTGAAGGGGCATCCTCATTGAAAGGTCGATACGATGGAAGACCATGGGGTAACGAAAGCTTGTTTTTGTTTGGCTCTATGCAGTAAGCACTATAGTTTGATGTCAGTCAGGCTTTATGGTGAGGGAACCGAAAGGTAAAATTTGAGACTCGCGTAACAACGAGAACCTTGTTTGAAATTTGTGCAAAATGGAGACAAATTCAGCCACAGAGCTCGTTGTCGTTATGTAACTTCGTTTTGTAAGTTTACCATCCACATCAATTAAATATTGCGTTAGAGTTTCAGCACGCTCTTTCCCGTTTGGTTTTGCAATATATCACCTTCTAGTAACAGGAATAGTTTCAAACGACAGCGATCGGACATGGAAGCTTATTGCTCACTACCTATACAGTAGGGAACCCTTGACCTAGACCACTGGCTAGATGAAAAATCTCAGACTCTGAGAACTTTGAAAAAAAAAAAAACTGAAAACGCGAGACCACGAGACAGAGATGAAATACACCATAGACAAGACTTGGAGACTGTTCTCAAAGGCTAAAAGATTTAGAAGTTGAATAAAAAATCTGTGAGACAAGATGTTTTCAAGGTATCGTTGAATTTCGCCGCCTTGGACAACTGGAAAACCGCTTGCCTTTTAATGTACACGGTATAATAGTAAGTGTATAAAAAAGAAAATCATTGACTCTACCTCGAGTTATGAGAAGAAACAAAGAACATGTCAAAAAGTATTTCATCAGACAAGTTCTGAAGTTTTTCCGGCGGCGCTGGTAATCCATCATGTTTACAAGATCATGAACGCCGAATTGAGTGGCCCGAGGCGCTCTATTCTTCCGAACTTTATTCGTCAATAGTATCCCCTTGAAATTTGTTTTATGGGCTGCCCACGCTGTTCTCATCTTGAACAGTATTACCTCTTTTCATTCAGTTCCTTGTTGCTAACAAAAAGCAATTGATCTTTTTATTCATTACAGATAACTTCCTACAACTCTACGGTGTATTAGGAAAGGTGTGGTTTCAATTTATTGACGAAATTAGATTCAAACTATCCCGGAAAATGTCACGTTCCCTGTTGAGAAGCCATCGCATTGATATGCCAACCACTTTAAACTAAGGCCCCGTTTACAGTGGAACCTCGATTTAACGAAGTGCCAAGGGACTGGGGAAATTGGTTCGTTATATCGAGGGTTTGTTATATCGAGGGTTCGTTATATCGAGGGTTCGTTATATCGAGGGTTCGTTATATCGAGGGTTCGTTATATCGAGGGTTCGTTATATCGAGGGTTCGTTATATCGAGGGTTCGTTATATCGAGGGTTCGTTATATCGAGGGTTCGTTATATCGAGGGTTCGTTATATCGAGGGTTCGTTATATCGAGGGTTCGTTATATCGAGGGTTCGTTATATCGAGGGTTCGTTATATCGAGGGTTCGTTATATCGAGGGTTCGTTATATCGAGGGTTCGTTATATCGAGGGTTCGTTATATCGAGGGTTCGTTATATCGAGGGTTCGTTATATCGAGGGTTCGTTATATCGAGGGTTCGTTATATCGAGGGTTCGTTATATCGAGGGTTCGTTATATCGAGGGTTCGTTATATCGAGGGTTCGTTATATCGAGGGTTCGTTATATCGAGGGTTCGTTATATCGNGGGGGGTAGGAGAGGGGACGAGTTGTCTCACCTCGGCAGGTAGGGTAACCCCGGGCAGGTGGGACAACTTTTACTCATGTAAACACCTTGTCTCGCTTTCCCGAGACGAGACAACTCGAACAGTAAAAGCGTGCGCACGCTATAACCAGAGCCCGCCACTTTTTCGAATATATAACCTGGTCTGGCCGAACAAAATTTCATATTAACGCTCCGTAAAGTTGTCTCGGGGGGAGGGTTGTCTCGCATATCCGAGACTATATAAATGGGGCCGGCCTAAGTGGGCTTATCACTATCGCCTTAGTCAAGTGATTTATCTCCACAGTCCAAATGCATTCGGAAGATTTCGTCTTGGCCGTAATCAGTCAAGAGTTTGTCTGCTCCGTGTATTTTCTTTTCTCCTCAAATTTTATAATCACTTGTATATCTTCAGATACAACAAATAAGGATATTGAAAACTTCTCTCACCAAAGATGGTCTTTTCAACGTTTGCTTAAATTCACAGACCATATTTTAAATATCATTGCTTTCGATTTCCTTTCAAAGAATTGGCAATTCTTTGGAGGAAAAATTGAAAAAAAACCCCAAAAATCCGGAAAACTGAGCAATAGGTGGAATAGGTCGTGCAAAATTGTTTTGCAAATACAACTCCACAGTCCTTCTTTCCTTTCCGTGCATCTATAACCTAACGCTACTTTAAATTCATTGCAGGTAACAGCTGTTGTAAACAGCATGACGGCTCTATCTCATGTTGTCTGACAACATTTAAGAAGGTCACGTGTCTCTCTCTCTAATGGTAAAAACGTTCACTTTGTTTTCAGACAGGATTATATTTACCCTCTGCGGGTATCTATTAACAGTGAAGTAGGTGGCAAAAAGTTTAAAGTAGTCACACAAAAAGGTTAGGAACAACATTCAATTTCAGTTCATTTCTTAGTTTTCAGATGTTCACTGTTAATTTATGCATATTGAATGAACAAATTGATCAATTCTGTTTCATTGTGCCCTTTGCCAAAAGAAAAATCATCCCGCTGACTCGAACTCAAAGCTAGGGGGAAAAGTAAATTGTTTGGAAAACTGGAAAGCTCGGCCTGGCTAAATATAGATATATAAAGAGAAATGGCTTGAATTGGAACTCCCAGTTCGACAGTATTTTCTAGTTCGTTTGCTTGTTTTTATGGGGAATTTATTTTTATGCGCCCTCTAAGATTTACTTAAGAGCACTAAGGTAAATATGGTTGCGAAATCGCCATGCAATTTCTTAATTAGGTCTCTTATGAAACATATGTAATTTCCGCTCTCTACGTACTAGATGATCTTTAGATCATAACACTCATGCCGATCACATGATGGCCTTCTGTTGCAACACACAATAAATACTGAGATATATTTTAACTTTTTTTCAGAATGGGACTCGGAAAGGAGAAAGAATATGATTTTACCATGATCTGTAGCGAGACACTGCTGCAGCAGATAGGAAGTCATTTCGTGACCACGATGGACGAATCTACAACCCAGGGATCATTACTGATCGCTATTTAGTTATAAACAGAAAAGGCTAGCGCATGGCGATTTTCCAATTAGCTTTTGGTCATCATTTTGTTAAAATGAAAACAAAAGGTTTCTTTTCGGGTTGAAGGCGAATCACGTAGAAAACTAAAGGAACCGATACAAGCATCAAAATTCCTACTTTGTGGATTTACCTTTAAATGTTGCCATATGTGCTAAAAGATACATTAAATTAAATAAGCATGCCTTTGAAAAAGTCCTCTTTTAGTGCCAAAAGGGGAAACTTTGAATTTCTTGTTGCTCATTCATAACGAGAAGCTGAAATGAAAACCCCTGCGGCTGACCGAGCCTGTTAAAACTAGGTTAGTTTTTTTTTCCTTTTGAGTAGTTACCTGCCACCAGAATCCATGCTCATGAAAACATTATTTAATGCCCCTGACACTAAACAATTTTTTGAAGAAATCTTCAGCGGTTATAGATTACAGTACACGAGAAAAGTTAGAACATCTTACCTTTTTTAAACATGAGAAGCAACATGATGAAAACTTGAAACTCGACATAGCTGGAGAAAAACATCGCACTGTTTCACGAATCTATGCCAGCTGCTGAAAAAGAGATTCTCTCTGACTTACAGACGTTTGGTCTTTAGTGTTTACTTTCAATCTCTTCTTTGGACTGATTTTAAAGATGTTTTACAGACAGTTGGTTAATAAAATTATATGCAATAGCTGCATGGACTGACAAAGTTACCGTGAAAACGCACTGGGAGACGTTCGGATGACTTCCAAAAGTCACTCCACACTGACATGTGTAAAATGAAAATAAGGTGGTGAAGCAGGTTCGGAAACGCACGAGAAACATCGATCAAATTCTTACATTAAAAATTAATTCTATTATTGTCCTCTGAATACGTAGGTGGTTGCATAAGGCTTAAGTAAATAAATTAATAATGCGTCTATCTTATGATCGACTAAGTTCTTGTTGGGTTATATCACGTTGCACGGCAACTCAATATTGCAATCGTCGATAGAGACTTTCTTGATTTTAAGATAATTTTTTTTTAGTCCGTGTGTAATTTTTGTGTGGTCCTGGCTTGCTTTTCACTCTGCTATACGTTATTGTAGCACTTTGTTGCCGTGTACGTTTAAGAAAGTTAAACACTGAAAACGATCATTTTGCATATGTCTAGAAACCAATAAAGTTAACGAGAATGCTGATCAATATCAAAATGACTGTTGGTTGCCAAGTATTCTCCCCAAGTTAGGAAGGGGGCATAGGTTATGATAAGGTTCGATCGTTTTTAATGCATGGTTACATTCAATTGCGAGTCTCAGTCTCTAGCGTGGACGAAACAGCCTTGAGTTGCCAAAATCGATAGTAATGGATGTCAGAGATTTAAACACCATACTTCGTTGCATTTGAAACAGGGTCTTTCTTCCTTTTTTGATCAAATTTGCAATCGTTGGTATGACTGAAAATCAATTGACAAAAGCTAGCGGAAATTTTTGAACTTTGATACAGTCACAGTCAATTTTCACAGATCAATTTATCCGTTTACAGCTAGGTTCCGCAAAAAAAAAAAAAAAAAATGGTAATTTTCTTCAAATGATTTAATCGTAGATAGTTAATTCTTTCCCCCTCTCCTATGAACTATTGCCGCGTTACAAAACTGGGTTCCAAAAATTCAGTAGTAAAAAAAAAGACCATGAAAACGCCGACTGTTTCTAAAATTTAATCATGTGAATCCTGCAGGAGAAAGTCGAAAAATAATGTAGTCCTTAACATTTCAATTAAGCGACTGTTTTTTTACACCCAGCTGCTTTTTATCCTACAACCGCCGCAACCCATCGTCAGGAATTTAAAAGCTGGAAGATTAGCCATCACTATGACCTTATTTCAACCAACAGTAGTCGATGAGTAAGACAAATCGATTCTGCATGACAATGAAGAATGGAAGACATACATAAAATCATCTACGCGCAGAGTACACCAGCTGATGTGATCCGGAAACTATATTTTTACATTGGAAATTCAGCCTACATGAAGCGGATATCCAGCTCGCAGAAAGGACCTCGTCGGTCACGAATAACGATAAACTGTTGCCATTTTCGTGCTTAACCCAAAGGAAAGAACGATGCCATCCAGGGGATCCAATACAGGCCAATTGGGATGAAAATGAAATCTGAATTTAGACCGATTCAAATTTAATTCAATTTGGCAAAATTGATTCACAGGCAGATATTATTTCCAAATAAATAATTAAATAGGAGAATGAATCGAAGTGAGTATTGTTGGTTTGCCCTCTGTGACCTTACGGCTAATGAATCAGTGGTTAACTTAGGGGCGTGAATAACAACAAAGAGGATCCAAAATCAGTCAGAACTTAAAACTGATTCCCACCCCGTACTTGACTTCAAATGAAAGTCATGCAGTAAATTTGATTCGGTTCATGAGAAATGCGGCGTCTGAATACTCTTGAAGATGTCACCGATAAAAGAAAAAGAAAAAAAGTAACCCTGTAGAATGGCTGCTGTTTGCTAGAAATCAAACCACGTAATTGTAAACTGAAACAATCTACTGCCCACAGTTTTTCATCCAAATTTACATGAAGAAACACCCGCTTGAATCGTGATCTCGCGAACAAATGACGCCGCGTGGATCGACCTAATCCCAAACTTAGCCATGTGATGAACGCTAAAACTTAAAAAAAAATTAGCAAGATGGCATCTAGATTTTGTCTTGCATGTAAAACTCAGCTGAATTAAAAAAAGATGCCCAACACTCTTCGTCTCAGAAAAATTCAACAAAACCCCCATATTTACCCGCCCACACCCTTGCTAGCCAGATAACCCCACCCTCTTCAACAGAACACCCCACATCCACATTAACGTCTACTCAACACTGATAAAGTTCATAGCAAGATGATCAGGTTTCAAGTGATACAGGCAGCTATCTGCACTATTTTAAGAAGCTTACATGCCAATTTCAGTGAACCATAATTATTGATCATAAAAGAGAGATCGCGTTCATGAAAAAATAAAAATGGGGGATCTGCTGGATAAAAGCAGGTAGGGATGTTCACACGGTTGGGGAAGGCTCTAAAAGGCAGATTTTCCTTCCACCATTTGCCTTCTGTTTTCAATTTGCATACAAAGGATTTTGTTATTGGCCCCCTTGGCTGATATACATTTGTATTTCCTGCACTTAGGATCTTCTTGCAGCGATCCTATGACATAAGAAACGTCCAGTAACTGGGATCATTTCCCTGCCGAAAAAAAAAATTCCCCAAAAGCAAACCGCACGTAAACTTTCGACCACATAACAAAAACGAGCTGTATCGCAGTGGAAACGTCGCGACCAATACAATTTATGATGTGATTTCTACATCGTGAGATAAACGGTTAAGGTTTAGAGTTTAGGGTTTAGGGTTTAGGGTTAGGGTCAGGTTTAGGGGCTAGCGCTAGGGGTTTAGGTTTAGGGTTACATGAAACAAACGATGCTTTAAAGGAAAGGTTAATAGCGTGATCCAATTATGCAAAGGGGGGTCCACATCTGGTAGCGGGATTTAGATGAGAGGGATCCAATTCTGCTGTGAGACCTGTCTTATCCAAGAAGATGGTGTACTAAGGAAAAGCGCGCGCAAATCCACATTCTACGATAACCACGACTGATATCTATTTGCTCTTTGCCATATAGATACGAAGACAGGGAATAGGTTACGAGTAAAACTAAAATAATCAGTCCACACTTTAATACTTTCCACTTGAATAACTTCCATCCCACAATACTTATTATTTTGAGCAGACACTCATTCTGTTCAACATGTTTTGCCTGCTGTTTCTGTTTCAACAATTAGCACCAGAACTAAAGCTCTTATAATAATAAAAATCTGTTAGAGCTAGTTTACAGGCATCAAACGGCTCCTGCTCTTTAACATTCTTGCTTTTGAAACAGTTTATCGAAATTAGCCAATATTAATTTCGCGTTTTCGGTCTTAAAAAAAAGCTTTACTGTACAATTTTAATGATATCATAACGAAAAGTATGGAGAAGGAGACTCAAAAATTCGCTCAACTACAAGGTGTTGGGAAAACATAAGGCGACTGGCGAGGCATAATTTTCGGAAAGAGATACTCCTCCTTGTGTCCGGGCTCCAGAGGGCATGTTACGAAGGAATCGGTGAGGCAGAGAACTGCATGAATCTTTCAGCGGTTGGCTCTCACAAGAGTTTCTTTGTTAGAATCTCGTAAACCATTCGACGCCTGAAATAAGGCATGTGTCTCTGGAAAAGAATACAAAATGAGATAAATCTAAGCATCTGCCTTGGTTAACCCATACGAATGTGGATGAAACTTCTCGTAAGAAAGAAAACGTTACGAAAAGCAACATAAACTTATCGCTTATTGTTCGTACCTGATCAAAATCGAACGGTGCTCTTCTTGATAAATACTCTGCGTACTGAATCAGAGAAGCGAAAAAAAACAAAACAAAACAAAATAAAAACAAAACAAATTCAACAAATCAGTTCAACATCCTAAATTCCGATTCGAGTTAGAAACAATGTACAAGAAGAACCACCTCGTGGAATGTCAACTGCTAAATCCCACTGATTTATTCATTTATTTGTTTTTAGTTTCTAAGCATCGATGTCCTCCATGAAATTTTACCCCTTCTGTAATGATTACTATAGCCAGTTCAGTTGTAGAGGGGAAGCTTAAGTTTACGGACCAAACTCTGATGAACAAAGGCAAGGGACCACAATGTTCAAAAAAAAGGAAAGAAAAACGAAAAGGTGGGAAATTATCGTGAGAATGCTCACAATAGAAGTGGTAAGTCTCGCACACCAAACTGAGATTGGTTTAAATCCAACGAATTTAACAGATATTACAAACAGAGGTTTTTGTGAGTCGGTGTAAATAGTACAAAACCTTGAATTATACCTTGCAGGCGAATACTCCACAATCACATCCGTTCAATTGCTCTGGTATATCCTTTCAGAAAAAAAAGGAAGGACATCAATTTTAATTTTAAAAGAAGAGGATGTTAATTTTTTTAAAAGAAGTTAACCCATTCACCACAAGGAAATAGTCGCGTTATTCCGCATTTCCCTTGGGTCAGCGAAAATGATTCAAAATAGCGAGATTTCGAGATACCGGGCCACAATCGAAGTGAAACACTAGCTGGAGTTCATTGAGCCTACGTTCGACTTCGACAGGAAGTTTGAGCAGGATATCATATTTTCGAGGTCTATAGTGGACTATTTGCCGTTTTTTTCTTTCGATCACAAGCGAGAGCTATAGGCGATTAGATATTGGGATAGTAAACTTAGCACATTATAGGATTATCCCAACCCAGCCTCTTTCTAGTGTTTAAGGCTGACAGAAGGCACTTATGAACCAAACATTATTTGCTCGAAAAGCAGAAATTACACTTACAGTTAAGAAGTTTATCGGCCAACTATTTAAAAGATAATAATTCAAACCGGACCTGTTCAATGATTAACAATTTGACCAGGGAATTTGAGAAACACATTAACGAGGCAAAATTTTATAATAAAGCACCTTCGGTGAAACTGTCTTCCAGCCTGTTGAGTCGAACGGCTTTTTCTGCTTGTCCAGAGATTCTTTTTTCAAGTAATCACTACAAACAAAAACATTCCTTAAAGGAAGCTGAACCTACACTCTCCTGAGTTGGCGATGTAAATGGAATAATACAAATTTAATTTTTTATGATGATTATTATTTCTATGGTTTTAATCGACATTTTTCTTCCGATTCCGTCGGTTTGATTTTCACTGGATGATATTGCTCAGCGATTCTGATGACGACTCTGAATCGGACTCCGTCGTAAGTTAAAAGTAATGTGGGTCTCAGCTCGAAAACTAGTTCATTCAGTAGAATGAACCCGTAAAATTATTGTAATACACGGTAAGAATATTGTTAAGTGTGAGGAGATTGGCATCAGGTCTTACCTCAGTGCAGTCAGGCATTGTGGGTTGGAACCTTTGAGTGAGTCATAATATGAGATACATTTCTTCTTAAAATCAATCGCCTGAAAAACGAAGAGAACAAACTGTAAGCGAACCGTCTACAACTTGAACTGGACTGACTATGTTGAGTCAAAAAGACTGAATAAAGTTAAACACTCTTGCCTAAGGATTTACTTCACCACATCTTCACTGCGTCGGATTCATTAAACAACGCAACTTTACTCTACAGTTCTGCGGTTCACGCAAGAGTAAATTTCCAGAAACGCTCTCTTACGTGGATAAATGTCACTGCAGAGCAGGGCAATTGTTCTGTGTTTGCCCAAGAATGCCCTCAAACGTTTCCGACGCCGTTTATCGTTGTAATGTGGATGAAACAGGCCTTTTTTTTTTCTTTTTCTGATTTTCACTTTGAACGATGTTATTCGCCGAGTGTGAACGGAGGCCAAAACAATCTTCGAGGGAATATCTAATTTAATCAGTTGTATTACTTAATTTGCGTTGCAGATTTGAATTGGCTAAACGACGCAACATTAGTAACAAGAGCAAGGGTGAAACGTTTTACAACAAACAACTTTCTTACCGCGACACACCAATGCATCCCTAAATGAACCGGAACAAGGACTATGTCCATCGCAAAAATATCCACCTACAAGAACACCACAAAAAAAAAATAAGTGAAAGAGAAACGTAATCGTTTGTCTCGCCTTGTGGTCTCTTGGGGTGTGGATCCCAACGTTTCGACTGTTTACTGCTGGTCTTCTTCATCGCCTAGAGAACACTAGCAGTAAGCAGTTAAAACGTCGCGATCAACTTTCCAATTAACAACAGCGCGAGACAAACGATTAAGGTACTCTTTCAAGCGTTATTCACCACGACGAATATCCTATTTTACGATAAAAGTAAATGAAATAAAACACACGAAACAGTTTTTACTGCAAAAAACGGTGCAAAAAGGTTCCAGAAGTAGTGGTAAGCCACCGGTATCACAAGTACTCTAAAAACAACCCTCCACCTCATTGATTTCCCAGGCTCCTAGACGCGCGGCTCAATCGTGCACAATCGTGCACAATCGTGCACAATCGTGCCTGACTACTCACTGGATATTCTTGTCGTCTTTTTGTTATGAAATAAATACCATCCACAACAGTAGCTTCAAAACATCAATCGATAATCTCACAAAACCATTTATTAGATGATCTTTTTTCGCAGTAGAGAGAGCTTTACGGGACCAACAAAGGAAAACACCACTGGTCGAGGAGTGAAGCGCTCAAAATCGTGTTTCTTACCTTTTTCGTCCACCGTTTGAGACTGGCATATCCTGACTTGATGAGTTTGGGATAAAAGAATGAATTAAAGGCGTGCACTTTCACATTCCCTTGTTGGTTACTTCTCTCCATGATCAGGTTGAAAAAGAAGTTAATAATCTGCAAAAAGAATTGAGATACGAAAAAAATCATAAACCAGTTGAACTAAAAACCCACTTCAAATGGTACCGCTACCTGAAAACGCCTCAGCCATTTTTGTTTTTACATCTTTCTAAGTGGGAACCTCAAGCCACATGTCAGAGCAATTTTAAATGCCCTTCACCTCAGCTTACCTCATCATTAAGCCAGTTCAGATTACTGAGCGTTGCCACATCACTTCGTTTCAGGGTCACTCGAAAGCCTTCAACAAGAGGGTCTTCAGAATACCCAGGGGCTAGTGCTGCATCCACCTAGAGGACGATTTTTAAAGAACGACTTTCCTCAAAAATTGTATTTTACGAACCAACTGATTCAAAAAGCTGGGTCAACGTATTTTACGTGACTCGACTTCTTTTAAACAACAAACATATGAAATACATATATATGACTTCTTTTCATTCAAATTGGCTCCGATCGGTAAAATGGCCGAGCACAGATCTTTTGGAGGCTAAGTTGCCGCACCATAATCTACAAGATGAAGTGGAACTTTCATATTTTTACCACAACTTAACCCGAAAGCAATCTGTTCTTATCCCTCCACTTTTACTCGCCAATGTTCGCATTTGGCTTACTTATCTTTTGTTGATTGTGTTGTCTGATCGTTCGCGAGAGTGGTCCTGAACAGAATTCGTCTTGTTGATAAGAGCTGACGTTTCGACAACCTGAGCTCAGACTTTCGTGAAGGAGGGGCAAGCCCCCCCCCCCCCAAAAAAAAAACAGGAAAAAAAATCTTCAAAATAAAGATACTCCACCCACACGTAGCGCCACATGTAATTTAACCCGCGTGAGAAGTGAACGCTTTCGGGCCATTCCTCCAGTCTTCTCTACTATGTAAGAATGGAAGTAAGAAATTTACAATACTGCTCAAAAGTAAGTTGAGTCTCAACTCGATCCTATCTTGAATCGAGTATCAAGGATCGAGACACTCGAAGAACTTTTCGACGATCTCGTTCTGCAGAACGCAAAACAGTAACGAAGGACAAAGCGCTTGACACGCTTTAAGTCAACAACGGTTCTCACCATTCTCTCCATCTCATCCGCGAGCGGCACAAATGAGTCCGTTATTTCTTTTACTTCTTCTTCTTCTGCCTAATAAAGACGATATGCAATATCATAAACATTTAACTGAAGCAAACATTTTAGTAAGGATGTATATAACCGTAAGGGTACTCCAAGTTAGTTACTAAAGCGTGTGGTGCTACGTAAAGTATTTGTGACGTGAGAAGAACATACATTGTTTTGTATGAAACGATCACATGCATGTATGAATAGTTGAAACAACACTTGGCTGGGTGATGCTTGCAATTTCAAGACTTCCATTCTTGCAGTTGGTAAAGGGTTTCCAGCGTTCAAGTTCAATGGACAACTTCACAGATCATATAATTATGATAGACGGAACAAACACATGGGATGTCCGAAGAGAACACCATCACACGGGTGACGTGCACGTTACAGGATTAAAAAACCGTTCACGTTTTTCAGGCTTTTTTTTTTCTAAATCATTTCAAAGCGGATAATTCCGTTGTAACGATCGCTAGGTAACTTAAACCCTATTATGTTTTGAGGCGCTGTAGAGTTGGAATGAGCGAGCAGACCCAACCCCCACTTTGCTTCAGTACTTATTCTGCCATGAGCGTGTGGATGCAGTGTAAACAGGAAAAAATAGCATTGATCTAAAATACCTCTTCTTCCTCATCTTCATCCAGTCCTAAGTTTCTTCTTCTTAGTCGTTCTCTTATCTAAATCAGGGACAAGCAAGCATAAATATCAAGTAATATGAGGTATCAAATTTCAGCAATACTTGAAGCAGAGTTAACTTTGCTTAAACACGTAAATTATCTACCAAATAATTCGCTTGATAATCATATTCCCGCCTTGGCGGACAAGAAGTACCTTCATTTCACGTTCATGGTCCGAAAATGACGAACCCACATATTCTTTGCACATGTAAAACTTGTTCCAGCTCGGTTTACGAGACAACAACAACATGTAAACATCGAAGAGCAAGCTTTAAAACCCCAGAACTAACAAAAATTTCCTTTTTAAAGAAAACCCATCGACAAAAAAAGTAATTTTCCATCCCATGACCCTGATAATAACGTACATGTATCTCTGTTACAAGTGAAAGACGACCACATTGTTCCATTTTCTGGGACTCTGTTACGAGTTTTAATGAAGCGGGATCCTGGCTGACCTAATTACACACCCAAGTTTTACTGTGTTAAACATGATGGGCGATATCTCAACCTATACTACACCAGTCTACCCATAATAATCGATCAATAATTGTAGATTTGTACAGTGCGTAAACAAGCACCTTGTCTTTAATTGCTTGTGTTTCTTCTTCTCGCTGAAATGGGAGGAAAAGGAAAAATCATCAATATCACCATTGTTAATGTACGTGTTCTAGTTACATGAACTTTCACCATATTTTTCACGAAATGATTCTCTCTACAAAAGTGTAGATTCCTTAATCAAATTTGAGCTTAGAGGAATACGAACCGCTTCCACACTCGCTTAAAACACCGCGACAACTTGTTAATGTTATCAAAAAGAAAATCTCTGTAACCAAGTTAAAACCGTATGCAAATCATTTCCATGGAAAACGACCAAACCAAACCGAGCGACCATGACTTCATTGAAATAAGTGGCCACAAAGTGCAATAAAAAAATGAAACGAAACGAAACCAGACAAAGAAACAAACAAAACTGTGACTGATAAAGAAACAAAACACACAAAAAAAATGTTATCATGTCCATGAGCGTTATACACAAAAACGCCTCACAAGTCTCCACAAGGAGACATCAAGCGGGCACAGCACCACTTGATGACTCACTCAACGTAGCCATGCAGCTCAGGGAAATTGTAGCAACAGTGGCCTTCAGCTGTGCATCTAATTGGTTTTGAATTCTACGCGAAAGTTGTCCCAGATTACTTAATTGAGCCTGCCGATATAATCCTTCGAGCTTTTGACAAAGTAAACTTGCATTCATTTTACCTTTTGCTTTATTGCTTTTAGCTTGTTTTCTTCTTTCGAAATCTCCCTTTGTCGGGCTAACCTGTCTTCTGATAAGAGATTTCGCCTGTAAATCGAAAAAAATAAATGAATGGCAAAGTGCCGGGAATTTTCGTTGGACGTGCATAATACAAACTAGCACTATACAAGTCCATTTGTCCTTCTAATCAGGTATCAGATATCTCTACAAATCTACAGCAATCACCGGAAGGTTTGCAGTATTTTGTCTTCAAAAACTAAAGGGTCCTGTCAGTAAAAAGACAGCACTGCGTACGTAGTAAACGCAAGGGAGAAGATTGTAGGCGTTTAAAAATCTTTTGCTGCTGTTAACATTGAATTGCTCCGTGTTGCACATAGTCCAAGTATTGCACTGCACTTATGATTAGATTGCGATATCTAAATGAAGATTCGAAACTGGTCAAAAATGCCCATTTACGAAACCAGAGGGTACAAAACTGAGGAGCACAAAAATTGGCGGGTTCTTTGATGGTATCGAATTGTGTACCTTTCCTTATCACTACTTTCAAAAATAAAAGGATCATAGTTATGTAATGACAACAGGTGAAAACAAGAGTAAGTGTACGTCTTTCCTAACACTTACCATTTTGTGGTCCAGTCCTCACCAAATGGATTGTGAATATCAGGCGTGTCCAGTGTTTTGTTGCTAAGAGAAATTAATGTAAAATATACAAAATGTCAGGAGGCTTATCACTTGAATTATGGATCTGTAACCGAGGAGACTTAAAGGCAGTAGGTGGCATATTTTAGGCATTCATTTAATAAAACTGACATGTTCAGGAGAAGTTTAAATGTTTATAATTTTGGAGGGCTAAAGGGTTATTAACACAACTTTACAGTGAACTACAATAAACTTTTTTTAAGCATAATGTTTAATTTACCTTGATCTGTTGATAATGTTTGGAGGTGATATGTTGGTTGTACCTTTAAGTAACAAATACAGTTCAAACTGTTATATGGCACCAAATAAACCTACATTTTACTCTTCAAAAACTGTTGTACAAGTTTTCAGGCAAATGAAAACTTTTAGTCTCCTTTAAGGACCTGAAGTTCAGACTGTGCAGTGAGACTCTCCTCCACCCACTTGAGTATGAACTTGTTAGAAATCTACAGTGTACACGAAGGTAATAATTATACCCCTGTACGGTGTCAGAAAATTATATCACAAAGAGTCTACAAGCACATGTGTCGCATGCAGCCAAGTTGCCCAGACAAAGGTGCAATTTGCAAAAAAAAAGCTTTGTTTAATTTTAAATTCTACACCACTCAAGTTTTCTTTTTATTACAGACAGAGTTATTGCAATAAAAATCACTAACAAACCTTTCAGCTTTTCAAAATACTTTTAGACCTCACTCTGTCAAATATTCCATTTCAGCATAGCATATACACTACACTAAATTAATACTAACCTGGTCTTGAATACAAACTAACATCTGCTGTGACCCTGTGTGACCTGTTGGCTGATCTCCTAGGAGATGCAGTTACTTTCAACCTTGTTGATGACAGGGGAGGGGAGGCTGGTATAGTGAAGGACACAGGGGGTGGTACTAAGGTGGATCTTGGTGACAGTAGGCTTCCATTTACAGACCTGAGTGGTAGAGCCATACAACAGGAGTGAACAAAAAAAAAGATTATAACTAATAGAATAGTAAAATAAGATAATTTTGTTGTTAAAGGAAGGATCACTGGCATTTGTGACAACTGTTATAGTCAACAAAGGTATGAATGATAACATGGTGAATATCAAATCCAGGATTACACAAAATAACTGACATTTATTCATCAAAGTGGGGGTAGATATTTATTCTGAGCCTTGAAGTGGTGAGGTAAACACCCACCACCCTCACCAACACTGAGGAGAATAATTGTTTTGAACAAACCCAACTAAAGCCAAAAATTAGTTTATCTCTGTCGATATACTGCAAAATGGTTGGAAATTAAACTCTGGACCCAAAATTTTGTCTCTTGGCTGCTTGGAGGTGAATAGCAATTGCAAATCACTTCAGTTTTGTTTGTACCTGACATGGGGTCTTGTCTTGATGAGAAAGTCAGTCTCAACGTGCAGAGGTTCATCTATTGCTGTTCTGTTCAATGCATGATCTAATCTATCAGGTGTCTCTATATTGGTATACTGAGCCACTAGCTGCCTGTATTTGTCTCGTTCATCCAGACGAATAACCTTGTGGGACAGAAAAACAGTGATAAATTGTATACAGACTGTGTACAATGCACTAATTTGAAGTGTGGTATGGAGTCACATTAACCCTTCACACTCTTATATCAATATGCATATTCTCCATACTGTTCTCTGTACCTTCCCTGGGGGTACTGACAAGGAGAATTTGCTTAACAATCAGGGGCTCATTCAGGTTATCAAAATGTCAGTCACAGTCACCAACACAATTCAGTAATTCTTTAACACAAATCCTGCTATACTTGTTCACTGTGCATGGTCCTTCACAATTCCAAGTCTTACCGTTTCTGCTGTGCTTGTAAATCTCCCCCCTTCAACTGGAGATCTCTTCCCTGACATCTTCCCTGTAGTCTTCTGTGATCTTGCAGGAGACCTGCTACCAGATTGAGAAGGTCCAGGCATGTTGCACTCTACTGTCCTCCCACTTTTGTACTGGTTAGCATTGTAAGATCTACTGTCAACAATATCTTTATATTTTGATGCTAGGTGGATAAATGGATTTAGCATTGTAAGATCTACTGTCAACAATATCTTTATATTTTGATGCTGGGTGGATAAATAACAATATCTTTATATTTTGATGCTAGGTGGATAAATAACAATATCTTTATATTTTGATGCTAGGTGGATAAATAACAATATCTTTATATTTTGATGCTAGGTGGATAAATGGATTTAAAGTCGTCACTACATGAACAAAATTGAACAGTGACAAAATTGTCTGATGAGCAAAATTGGATACAATTTTTATTTCTGATTAAAAAGACACCATGCCGATACATCACTGTGTACTGTTGCACTTATATCAAAAAAATCCTTTTTTTTTTTTTTACAATAATCTCTCAATTGACTGATTAAGCTTTCTTACTCTTCTTTACTAGAAAATAGCAGACAGTTCAATGCTCAACCATAGTTTACAAAAACTGGACTCAATTTTGTGATTGAAGTAACATGAAAAATAATTAGCATGGTGTATTTTAGACAATAATAACATTGGAATATTGAGAGAGAATGAGAAAAACAATTTTCATCATTTTGTATTGTAATCCTGAGCTAAACTAGAAACCTAATTTTTACTTAACGTAATGTAGTAAATTAATGTAACAAGTAACTTTGACATTTGTTTTTTCTTGTAAGAAAAAAAAAATTTAAAATGGTCTTGATTCTTTCCCAGAAAGAACTTACAATCATATGTTCTGCCAGATGCTCTTGTCATGGTGAAGTTTTGCTTTGTGGATGGTGTTAAACCCATCCTGTTTGTTCTTGTATGAGGCTGTACTGGTGTTGAAGTTTCTGGTCCTCTGCCCCTATGCAAGGGTTTCCTTGTCAATCTAGAACTTCCTTGTTGTCCCCAATGGTCTGTGCCAGAGCTCTGCAATAAGCAAAGCACCAGTTGTAATGGTTTCACCCTTTACACCCTAACATCTGTATGAATATTATACAATACAATACTTTNGTACACTCGACGGCCTTTCGATCCAAATGCAAAATGGCGGCCTGAAAATCTCGGGCACGCGCAGAAAGCAAAATTTCGAGATAGTTTTTGGGTTGAAAAGTAATGCCCCACTTACGACTTTTACTTTTCTCTCTTTCTCCTGCCCTTTTTTTCCCCTCTCCTTGCCTGAAGTTTCTCCTCACTTGCTGGAAATTTAGTAGGCTTCATTTTGGTGTAGAGACTTTTCAGAAACTACTCATTATTTTCAAACCACATGCTCAGAAAGGTAGGTAAGTAATGGAACAAGATTTTCGTGCAGATTTTCAGGTCAGAGTTACATGGTTTTTTGGCTATTTCTCTAATCTCCTTCACTCAATTGCACTCATTCTGGTATCGTTTGTAAGATATTTTCAACCTGTTCAAGTACGTGCTCAAATTCGTGCTCTAGGGTTAAAAGTGATGACGTCACCAGGCGTAGAAAGGGTGTGGGTCCCCCTGGGCGCATACGGGCACACTGGACGTCAATAGGTTAACTTTGTTACATCAACAATGTAGCTTCTGTATTGAAATGCAGCCTCAATACCATATCAGATGTTGCTAAAAACTTTTCATCCTTTTATCATAGTCTCTAAAAATACATATTCTTTAAAAAGATACTCACCTCCCTCTAGATTTCTTAATCTTTTGGTTGGTGGTGTCTAGTGTCAAAAAATAAAAAAAAGTATTCAGTATAACTGAGGTTATTGTTAAACTCAGCCTTCTACAATGCTCTGGTTAACAGCTTCCAGTAAAAAGAAATAACTACCAGGACTCGATACCAACTTTTCAACTTACTAGCCAAGTGGCTAGTGACAACATAGATGTTACGACAATTTCAGTTTGTTTGCTAGCCAAACTGGCTGGTGAAAATCAAAAACCACTAGCCAAAACTGAATTTCTACTAGTCTGAGGCTAGTTGGCTACCATTAGTGTCGAGCCCTGAACTACACATTTATTTTTCTCTCAGAGGAAAGACACTAACCTATGTCCCCAATACTTTCAAGCAATCAAAGTTTCCAATTCTTTACATGAATTTCCTCTCCAAAATTCTACCCTTTTGCAAAGTTAAATAACAACTTTATAATATGTGACCATCATATGACACCTTAAAGTCTCAGTCTTCCCTTTCAAAATCCATACAATTTTTACATTTTCTAAACATCTCCCTTGCTGTTTAAAATTGCAGAGTAAGTTAAGTATACAGGGCCACCAAGGTCCACCTTGCAGAGAGTGTTTGAAGGACCAAGAAGATTAAAATAAGAACTACAATATGCGGTGACTCAATAAGATGCAAACATGGGACCCTGCATTCTAAAGCCTTTCCCAAATTGTGCATGACAGTTTGATTATCAGTACATAGATGGACTAACCTGGAGTACATCTGTTACGATTACATCCTCCTCTTCCCTATAAGAACAAAATGCATACTGATGAATCCTTGAAGGGTCAAAATCTACACGCAGGTCATATAATTATGTGACAAATTGTAAGTTATACAGTGTAGTAACACATGTATAAATTATCCAACTGTGCTTCGTTGAGTGCAAATAACTCCCAAAACGAGTACAAATATCTCGCGGTATTTGTACTCCAGAGAACTGGTTAGACATAAACCCGCACTGAAATAACAATTTGGCGTGTTGGATAATAAATCTCTTATTAGACGTTTTGTTGTGCAGTAATAGATACAAACAAAACTAAATGTTTCACATGCAAAACGTGGATTGCCATTCCCTCGACGAAAGACTTGGCATTTGTTCAAATACCTTAACAAAAAGAAAGATACGTCAGCCTCTTATAATTCAGATATTTTGGGATGAACTTCAAGTTAAAAGGTCCCGCTACGCTCATCGTTCTTAACTATCACATCAACTTGAATGTAGATCGCCACAATGTACACTACTTTAAAAATCCAAACATGACTTAAAATCTTGCCAAGGAAAAGACACAGATCCAAACAGGATAGTGTAAAGTACCTCTCCCTTCGGCGTTTGTCTCCTGCTTTTCTTCCAGAGAAAGAAAACGAGCGAATATTTTCATAAAAAGACGATAACGATGCCAACATGGTGGCCCTCACGAATTTACCGCCATCAGAAAACCACTGGCCAAATGCAGGCGAGTATGACGTCGCAACATGGCGGACAACACATCTTTTTCCGACTTTTCATCCCATTTCTGGCCGAAAGTGCAAAAAATAACAGTTTGTAATTTTTATGTATTTTTTTTTTCTGAGGAATGATTTAATTCATCGTAAATGGGGAATTAAAGCGAAATTTTTATGACGTGTAATTGTCTCCCGTGACGTCACAGTTAGTGGCTGTATAGAAAGGCTATAATGAACTAGGGTTAAGTCTTGGAAAATGGGAAAATTTTCTGGATATTGTATTTAACCACTAGAAAAGGGATGGAAATTTTCCTCGGCGCTAATGGCTGAGAAACCTACCCGACAGCTAAATCCAGCCTAGCTGCCTGGCTCTCTCTGTTGGTCTTTTTTCTCAGCCAGCTTTTTGTGCCGATAAAATGCCATGCGCATAGGGAAGGGGGAAGGGGGAAGGGGGAAGGGGTAGGAGGAGGCGCGGTTCCATGGCTGGGGAAATTAGAAAGAAAGGGCTGTTTCAAAGAAAACCTCTTTTGTTCAGGAATAAAGGAACAATTTCTTCGCTTAAACCTCAAAAGACTTTCATTTGCTTCAAGAAATTAGCACCAGGAGGTGGAAGCGTTCATTATATTTTTGAATAAAGATTGAATTCAAGGAAGTGCAGTTGACAACTGATAACTCAACAAATCCTGCTTACTGCTAGAAACTCGAGCTGAATTAAACTAAAATTCATGGATTTCGTCATTTACTTTAAAGTTCATTCACGGCAACTCGATAACTTGATTCAAACTTTCATTTAAATTCAGTTCATTTTCGATAACCATTATTCAACTCTTTAACTCGAGCTAAATTTGGAAATGCGTGTTCGTAATCAAAGTTTAATGTCTTTACGTGGGGCATGGTTACCCATATTGCCCGAGCCAGAGGCTCATGTATGAAACGCAAGACAACAACCCACCCATCCCACCCCAGGGGAGGACATCCATCACACAGTAACCTCGTGCGTGGGAAATTAACGTCTCCTACCCCCTCTGAAGGAGACGGGACCTCCATTTATTCGTCCCTATCCGAGAAGACTAGAATATCTAAACCATTTCTTGATGTTATAGAAAGGCAGCATATTCTTCTCAATTATTTTAAGACCTTGAGTATTGGTCCGGCCGGGGCTCGAACCCTCGACCTCCCGCACATCAGTCCAGCGCTCTATCCCATTGAGCAAACGGTGCTGTGGTTCAAAGCATGAAGCATTTTTGAAGCAGCCCCGTATATTGTGTACTGTTGTTTACTGAACAAGAATGCGGCGAACAATGTTTTTTCTCCTCATTTCCTGTCATAAGTTCTCACTCCAAATAGCCCCAACTCAATATCTGAAACTTTTTGTAATTTTCCTGGGAGGTTCAATCTCTAGGGGGGTCAAATATATCCAGAAAGTTTTAATATGAATGGAAAATAACTACTGCAAGCAGAGAAATCGATTAAGAAAGACAAAAGCAGACGTTTTTGATAGTAAACAATTGTAGTTATATTATTATAACTTATAGTTACCTAGACTGTAGCATATATTGAGAGTAGTGTTCTTTGACTCCTTTGAGTTACAAAGTAAAATTATTTATGCATGAGTTATTGACCAATCAGAGCTTGCAAAGTATCACAGTTATTTCATAACTTGTTTCTATCACCTTTATCGAGGTAATTATGCATGATACTGTAGCTCTACTTTTCAATCATGTCAGTAAATATACTGTGAGGAAATCCATTGTATATAATGTTCCAATATTTTGAGAACTTCCTAAAAATTCTAACTAACACCAGAACAACATTTTCCATATTTGGCGTAACTGAATAATATTCAAAGTAATTAACCCAGAGATATAATTCGTGTTTAAAAGACACCGTAGAATATAATAGATATAATATATCGATATAATAAACTTATCATAAACGTTTTAGATATATTTTTTTCCTCCACGAGGTGAATACATTACAAAGGCTTTGAAGTATGATGACCAATTCTCCATGATTATTATTTTTTTTTTAATAAAAGTGAAGGTGTCAATTTCAAAAATGACTGAAACGATAAATTTATTTACAAATTTACTTTATATTTTCTATGTAATGTTCTTTTTTTTTGGGAATCCAATATAATTGTATTCAGTTCTACAGAGCTTGGCTCAGCTTTTGTAAGGGACGATTAATCCAGAAACATCATGAATTACCTTAATTTTGAACAATCGTCTGGCACCATAAAATTTTTTGGTTTTTGCCGTTTCCTTGAGAGCTGTTTACCGACTATTTTTGACACGACTCGGTTGTTAAGTGGAATTCATGAAACGATTGTCTTTATGGTGGATCAAATGTTTCGTACACACGTGTGCAAGCTCTACTCATAATAGCAGTAGGAAACTTCAAAAAAATCACGACGACTACAGCTTGGGGAACGACAATTTGAAATCCACGGGCATTTTCCACAAGGATTTCGTGAATAGTAGTTAGCAGTGAGCACTGGTGTTAGGCATAGGACCCTCTCCTTAGTTGAACATGTGAAGACTGTTTTGAGTTCCAAATAAAAACAGGCACAATTGCTGTAGGGATTCCCATTCGTAGAGGCAAATAAAGTAAAATTTGTTAATTTGTCAGCTTGTAGGGGAAAGCTTACATGTGTACAGGGCTTTAAAAGCATAGCCATTGCTCTACATATCAAATATTTTGTTTTTGCCGACTTTTTGGCTGATGTGGCCGCCGGGGTTTGCGTTGCATCGCTGATTTTTCCGGCGTAATTCGCGCCCGTCAGATATTATGGCCGTTTCAAGCATTGAGTCTTTGACTGAGTCGCTGGGCTATGAACCTCCAGAGAAACCTGTAAGAATTTTCCCCGATCAAGTAGACAACTACATTTAGGGATAAAATATACAGGTTAAGCAAGTCTGGCTTCTCTATAATAATACGGCTCAAAAAAGTTTCCACCTAAACTAAGTAAACTATTTATCTATTTAGAAAGCGAAGTTTTTACTTCAAACCTCGCCCTCCGACAAGTCAGACTTACAGCACAATAATTCGGTGATTGTCACTATCGGCAACAATGATATACCCACCTGGAGAAACGGCCACACCCTTGGGATAACATTTCTGGGCGAGGCCATTGAGTCCAGAGGCAAGAGTTGCCTTTAAGCTCCCATCCTCGTTAAAAACTTGAACCCGATGATTGTATTGATCGGATACAATCACGTGATTGTCCATGTCGAAGGCAATTCCCGTTGGATACCTAAGCATTGATTGACCATTTTCCCCTGCACCGATCGCCCTCACAAAGTTCCCGTTTGAATCAAACACTTTGACAGCGTGGTTGTTGCTATCTGTGACAAATATTTCTCCTTTAGCGTCCATGATAGCGTGATAAGGGTGATCAAGCTGTCCATGCGCATTTCCATGGCAACCAAGTACGCGCAACAGGCTGCCGTCTTCCTTAAAAATTTGAACCCTGCTATTGCGCCGGTCGGTGACAATGATTTCGTCATCATTGCCTAAGGAAACACCCCACGGCCGTTTGAACTTGCCTTGTGTCTCACCATAACTACCAAACTTGTTGATGAAGACGCCTTCCTTGGTGAATCTCTGGACGCGGTGATTGTCCTTATCACAAACAACAATGTTTCCATGTCTGTCGACAGCTAAATCTGTGGGGTGATTCAGTTGTCCGTTTTTGTCTCCTTGGTTTCCAAAGCTCTTGAGGAACTTTCCTTGAGGGTCGAAAATCTGCACACGATTATTTTGGCAATCAGCGACGAGGATTTTCCCTTCGCTATCGACTGCCACGCCGCAAGGAAGCTTGAACTTTCCTTTAACTTCCCCCAGGCCTCCAACACATAAGGCTGGACGCGTTACGTTGTTGTAAATCCGGGGATTGGTAACCATAACCTTAAATGGGCTCCCTTTGATGGGTTGATGATGGATTGAGATTCCAACTTCGTGCTCGCCGTTAAGACTCGGAGTAAAACCGACTGTATAACTTCCGTCGCCTCTATCTACGATTTCCGATCTAACAGTTGAGTTATTTGGACTTCGCACATCGATCGTTACGAGATCTCCACCGCACATTTTCGGCTGGTTGTCGAAACCTTTCGCCTTCACGACAAATTCTGCTGGTGTACCAACATGAGCCTTTAATAGTCCGTCACCATTCGCCGTGGATAAATCCGAGCATGTATCGGAAACAACGACATAACCGAGAGCTTTCCGAGTAGTCGCGATTGAGTTTTCGTCGTGAAAAAAGTATATGTTCCTGTAATTCTTTGTACTGTAGTCTCTTCTAGTGTTTGAAATTTCATTCAACCTTCTTTTCAAGTGCTTTTGAATGACTAAAATTTCCAACTCATTGCCGATTTTCATGGCTCTCTCAGTAAACCGACAGCTGCTAATTAAACGTTCAAGAATCAACTCAAAATGTTGTTTCTCTTTCCGCAGAGAGCTCTCCTTGGTTTTAAATGCGCTGTTGAGTTCATTCAACAATTTTTCTTCCTGTTGTCGTAAAGACGCAATTAAAATCTGCGTATGCTCCTGAACAGCTTTTTCCATACTCGTCCGTTCTTCTTGAAGTTTAAACAACAAGTTCTTTATTTCGTTTAAAGATTTTCGCGTGTTCTCCATTTGGGTTTTTCCCTGTCCTAGTAGGCTTGCCATACTGTGTTTTTGCTTATGATAAACGTCTCGAAGATAAGAAAATCTGTGTTTTCTGTGCTCCATGACTGTACAGTCCAAGCAAATGGGCTCATCACACGTTTCACAGAAGTACTTTAGTTTCTCTTTTTGATGATCAGGACAGCTTCCCAACATGCTCGTTACTTCAGGTTGTTCTTCTGGTATATCCTCAAGGAACTGATCTTGGATGTGATAAATCGCATGGTCCTTTGAATGTTTGTGGAACTTGCGATGATGATTGTGGTGAACGGGGGTTGAGCGGAGACACTTCGAGTTTGTTGTGTTGATCGTTACAATTTCAGCAAAATAGCCATTCAATAGCGCCGCAGGCGTTTGGGATATCTTGTCTGGAAGAAACGAGTTCATCATACAGTTGTAAAACCTTCGTTTTAGAATCTCGTCGTTTAAATCACACAGTTTGCTTTGATCCATGTTTCCTTATACAATTCAAGATTTGAATCGTGCAACCACATGCAGATGAATTTGAAAGTCGGTTAGAAAGCACTTGAGAACAAATGTTGGAACCAACGTTGTTTACGAAGCTAAAATAAGCACTAAATCTTGGCGGGGGAGTTTAAACAAGGAAGTCTCTTTTGATATTTTCCCGTCGCTAACCAAAGGCTTGACCGCAGATAGCGAGCGCTTCAATAAAATTCCTTTTTCATTTAGCGAAACGTGGCAGAAATTCACTCCTGGAAAGTACAAAGGTAAGTAAAATTAATCTTGTGTTAAAAATGCAAATACTGCAAAGGAAAGGATAACACAGATTACAAAACAAAAACTTCGTTGACACAAGCCAATAAAATACCTCAAAAACTGTCAAAATCGTGTCAAAAGTGACTTAGCCACACGGGATTTGTTTGGACTACATGACAACACCGAACATTTGAATCCGAAAAGCTAACATCGGTCGGTCATTAATGCAAATTTAAAATTCGCAAGAAGGAATTAAAGTTTCTCTGGTTTTCTATTATGACCAGCATCCCATCTGCTGATTTTTCAGGCGTACTTTCGTCTTTTCACGAAAGGATTTTTCTTTACAATCTAGATTACATAGATCATTTGTCATGGGGACGCTAGACGAAGTAACAATGGGAAAACGCACTGATTGGTTCTCAGTAAATAAGGTACAAATTCTCTTTTGTCCCCGCACGGTAAAACAAATTAAGCGAGTGGCTTAAGAATAATTTGGGAAAAATGAGTTCTTTAAATGTCGGTTCGTTTCTCTGGCCTTGCCCGCTAATGCAAGAAATTAACCTGTGCATGAGAAGTAAGTGTATTTACTTCCTAAAGTAATTTGTCAACTGAGTAATTAAAAATGCGCTAATGCTTCTTTTACTGTCAATCAAGGCTTATAATCTGCAACAATAGCAAGCTTCTATATCTCATTAAACCAGACAGGAGGTCTTTAGCTCTCTTAAAAAGAAAACTGGACAAGAATTATTTGATGATAATGTCTTTGCGAGTTTGAAATTATTCAGCGTAGTTCTTGCTTCCGGTGAATAAATCTCTTGTTTATTGAAAAGTACTTGGCACAAGGCTATACAAGGGTTGCTAATCCAGCATGATTCAAGGCAAGTATTTGATCGTCCATCGGTCCTTCGCTGGTCCGTTTGGCTGCTTATTGTGGTTTTATGTTACACTCAAAATGCTGACAGTGTACTATGTCTGAAGCTGCCAAACTCGCGAACGTGCTCCAAGTATGTCCTTGTTAAGAACTAAACCCTCTTTTCTAATTGAAAAGAAGATTGTGCGACAAACAAAACTAGTTCATAATAGAGAAATTAATTTCAGAAATAATCCAAGTCTCTAATCTGTGTTTTCTTACGAACTGCGTTTCAATCAAATTCAGTGCGCGGTACGGTCGATGACAAAATATTTACTCATCGCCCCCTTAGCGAATACCAAAATCGCTAAATATAGATGTGTATTTACTTGTGAGTTCGTCAAAAACTACCTGCTTATGGTTGCTCATTATTGTTTGATGATTCGATAACTCACTGACTGAATAGTTGCAAATTAAGATAGGTTTTGAATTTGATTTAATTCAATCTGACTTCCTTTTCGTGTGTCTTGACGAGACAACCCGAAACTGAAATTTCACAAACACTTGATGTTCTCAACTGTACAACTCAAGTAAGAGCGTTAAGTGGAGGCAGACGATCCTTTATTTTACACACTAAATTTGGCTTTGAAAAGGCAGTAGGGCTTGTCAAACCACTTATATTGTAGTTTAAGACATTAGCACCTGTAACTTGGGATTTCATGCCCAGCTGTGGTCATAAAACACTCTTTAAACCTGTCTAAAGGTGCTAACTTAATGCACTTCCTAATGCTTACATAAGTTCAGGTGATTTCGCAATATCTAAAACTCGGATAGAACTAAATGCTTCAGTAATAAACTTCCTTTAAATCCTATAATAAGTGTGGATTGAACCGGCTAATGCCGAAAAAAACTAATTTCAACCGAGGAAAATAGGCACTCTGGGTACTGATGTAAACGAGAGCGGCGTGTTCAAAAGCGGATATCCTTGCAAGAATGGCGCTATTGTTAAATTATCCACAAGATTTCCTTGACAATGAAAATGAAATGGAAGTGATGGCCAAGTTACTCTAATATAGTTTCTTTTCTTGATGATATATGGAAGAAGAGCGAGTCATTGTAGCATATTTTCCGACATATTTTCCCAGGAAAGTTTTCGAGTCTTCCCGCGAAGCTGACGCGCTACGCCCCTTGTTTATTATTAATCGGCTTAGATAAAACAACATCGCAAAGGTTGGTTTTAATCTGTAAATGCATTTACAGTAACAGAAGAGAATTTTTTGGCTCGTAAACTCAATTAGAGTTTTCCTAACGTATTGAACCAGTACGATGTTTGCTTTTAATTTCGTTTGAGTTTTTGGGGTGCAAATCCTAGCAAGTCGTATTCTGCCTCTAAACTGAATTGTTCGTTGCCAAGGTGTTTATCACATGTTTGTGAAATTAAGTTTTTTTTTGGCGCAATTAAATCACAACTTAATGAAAATCACGTTGCTTCATTACTATATTGCACTTACCAAGGCCCTCGGGGGTACTTCAAATGAAGACCGCAACTGAATTTGTTCTGAATTGTTTAACTTGTTGGTAGACTTTGCTAGACAACCGACACTTCACTGAAGCGAGTCGCTCCGCGTATGAGTCGTTCGAGCAACGTTCTTGTTTTTTTATCATCTACTCCGCCGTGTTTTCGATAAACTGGCGACCAAATATCAGCTCTAGCTGACAAACAATAGCTAAGCTGCTCTTTTAATATTTTCTACACGTGTGTTTCGGTACGTTTTTGTTTTTCAAACGAGTAGCTTGAAATGCTTTTGTTATAGAAATCCGTGCCTATGACGTATTGTTTGTGGTTGTCTGTAAACTTGTGTTAAGCATGGTAATCCCTTCATTCTATTGAGACATGAATCACATAGCGTCATAGCAACTGCGAAAATAGCCCTTTGATTTATGAATGGGCATTTTGATTGCTGTATTTCGTTCGTAACGTGATGTTGAAACTTTTACCAATACTTTTTGAACAATAGTTTTTTTTTTGCCGTAATGAAATGGTTCTACAATTAATTTCTCGTCATAATTCCTGACTCATATCGATTAAACAAACTATGCTTCCCTGTCAAACCTCCATTTCCTTAACCTTTATTAAGCATTCTGATTTAAAACTTCCTTTAAGCGCCAGCTAGTATAAATCTGTCGATGAACTCACTAGTGTCGGTGAGATTCCCTGCTACGACATCTCGTTACTTCTGAACACGCAACGACTTGAGGTGCATTGATAAGGGGAGAAATCGCTCCCTTAACATCAACCTTGTATATCACATAAATAATGCTAATTTCCGATTAATTTAATCATTTTAATAAGTAAAAATAAGATCATCTCACATGTAGGAAAGAAGTTGTCTACACTCTTGTTTTGTCAAACTTGATCCAAAACAAGAAATACTGATATACCGTATTTCTTATTGCCTCTAGAAAATTAATAAATTCGAACTTAGGTTGTTAGACTTCTCTCGCTGACCATGTTGATGAACGTGCCCCACTTCAGTAAAGTAAATTGGCCACCGTAAAGAGTTTCCGCTTCCCAAAAGTTGATGCAAATCTGGCAAAAGCTTCCCTGAGTTACTACGTGACAATTCGTTGCATGTCAATCTTTCAATGTAAATTATTACTATTTGTCATCTTCCAATAATCTTCTTCGTCCGTGATTGCCTTTTCGTTTATCTAAAGGCTCTTTCTTGTCAATTTGTGATGTTTATCAAACTTCTCATAATTTGATTTTTTGTAGCAGGTTTATCATTATAATTTTAAAAAAAAAATCTGCCTTGCAACCAAAAGGAAGGGAGTTGGAAAAATATCCTAAAAATTACCTTCTTGACATCGGGTCATGCCTTTACTGTGGTAAGCTTCATGTCAAGAACTTTAATAGTCTATTGGGAGGCGCCGCCTTTAGGCTGAAGTTAACGCAAATTAAATTCGCCATAAAGCCATACTTACACTGGTGACTTTTCCTTGATAATATTACAAAAAACCTGCTCACGGTACACATGAGCAAAGGAGACGGTGTCTCAAAGAAAAGCAAAGCGACTCTCACACACAACACGGCCGAGTCAAACGTCGGACGAGTGCAAGGGGATCAATTTGAGCCGACTGCGGGCGCGCCACACGTACAGCGGCAAGTTTTAGACAGTCTCCAAGTGAACAAACATGCAGTGCGAAAAGAGTGCAAGTTTCCAAAGAAACTGTGGTGCTGTGTCGGTGGGGGCTATCATAAGATAATTTGGTTTGGTAAACTGCGTTGATAAGGATTATAAAGCTAACGTTTCGAGGATTAGCTCTCCATCATTTTGCTCTGACGTAGGGCTACGCTCGAAACGCCAGTTTTAGAAACTCTGCGGTGGCCAAGGCGCGTTATCAACTCATTTGATAAAACCAAATTATCCTGTAACCTGCAGTGCAGATTAACGATATGTCAGCAAGCAATGAAATCCTGGTTGAACTGACAGCACTACAGTTAGATATCTGTGAGATCTTATTCGATCATGGCAGCCTCACTGACTTGACATAAGTCAAAAATATCAAACTGACGTATTAAATTCCCTAGCTGTTGTGAGATGCATCGACTAAACTCCACTCGACAAGATTTCGTTGGAATCAAAACGATTGCATTTGTAATTAATTGCATACCGCTTTTTACCGCTTTTTATTGCTTTACGTCGTAGAGCGGAGGACTTTCGTGCGGGAGGTCGCCTTGGGTTCAAGTCCTAGATCGGACTAACACTCAAAATAACTGACGGGAATGTACCTACTTTGCTATGACATCCGCAAATGGTTAGATATTCTAATCTTTTGGATAAGGCTGTTAACCGTAAATTCCGTCTCCTGCATCCTCTCTGTACTGTTTAGCTGGGGACATTAAAAACCCACTCACTTCTCGCAAAGAGTAGGGGAAGTAACTCCCGGCGTTGTGGTCTGGCTTTTTTATTCATTTTACAGGCCCCCATAAACTAGCTTTGAACTGATCCGGGCCAGCCTTTCTAAAAATCGTAAATAAAGAATAAATGCATGCCCCTCTCTGCTAGCCTTTTTTTTTTTTTTTGTTCCTTTCCCCTCTTTTATAGAAATGTTGGGAAAATATCGGTGATAATCAGTACTATATTCCGCGTGCGATGGTCTAGCTTAAGGTTTCTTGAAAAACCCGTGAAATCTATCTAGAGCGGTATATTAAGACAAAATAGTACTCGACTTAGACATATTAAACCGAATATAAAATTCCGCAAGACGCACTTCTCCGTTGTAGGGGGTTTCTTTATCATGAGATGTTGTCAACTGGTATTTCAACTGACTTGCAGTACCATCTATAGCTTCACTTTAATCAATTTTGGCTTTTAGACATATTTTGTACTTTTAGTGTAATTCGCTAGTCTGTTAAGACTCTATAGACTTCTCCTGAAATTTCAAGAGCAGTCGAATTACATGGCCACTGCTTAGGAAAAACAAGAAACTCCGAGCTTTACTTCAAAAGGAAAAAGGGAAGCTAGACATCTAGCCTTGGCGCAAGCTAAAATAAATGATTCTATCTATTTATCTTTGTACCAAATTGACCATGCTAGTGCTTTTGCTCCCCTGTACTAAAACGAGAAGTCTATTTGAGATACAGAACCGCAACCGTTATTATCGCTGTTTCGCAAACTTTCATGTTCCGCAAAATTGCCAGCAGTCAAACTACTTCAAGGCGTTCTATCAGTTTTCAGTTTCAACGACGATGTTCGTGCTATATCACACGTGCTGTAAATGTCACCGTCACATTAAAACTTCTGATAAAAAAGCAACAATTGTTCGATATTACTCCTTTCTTTACACGCGACCACTAAGTTTGTTTTTCGACGATTTTGGTTGAGCGATCCTAAAGTCTTGACCAACCCAAGTGCCAGAAGATTGTAGAGAAATTCTTTCGGTGCAAGTTAAGTCACTTTCAGCTTCAAAAGACCCTTCAAGAGAAACGAACCCTGCGCCGCGGACTTTGGAGGACCCCTCTCTTTTCTCCATTTGACGCGCGCGTTCGTCGAAACAGAGCCGGCGCAATTTATTCCAGTGTGATCTGATTAGGCAAGCAACAGCCATTCGTAGAATGTCACTAAATATTACAACCAAAGCGATAAGTGGAACGCTAAGGGCATTCTCTTTCTCTTTTGGAGGTTTTTCACAAGGCAACGAAGTGGATATACACTTTCCTTTACAGCAGTATTCTTCGAGGCTCCCTGGCGAGCCACAGTGTTCATTACGGGAACATGATATGTTGCAGGATCGCCGACAGTAACCGCTACAACAGTAGAGGTAGTCCCCGAGGCAATCTCGATAGCTCTCGCATTCTCGACTTTCGGAAACTCCCAGAAACCCCCAAAAAGTGACGATTGAAAACACAACGACAGTAATTCTGGGCAGTCCAAAGACTGTTTGTGACAATCTGTTTTTGCATGGTGGCTTGTGAAGTCGAATCCATACATGAAAGTAACCGGCCATAGCTGATCCTTAGGGCTTTCCGCCGTGGTTTCTCCTCTACTTTGTGCTAAGGAAAATTCCAGTTTTGAACATGCAGTATTTTCAACATGAAGGTTTTAAATTTGTAGAACTATATCGAAGTTACGTACGAAGTTTTTCTTAGATAAATACACCGAATTGCTAAATTTCTTCATTCAGTGATTGCGCCTGGATTCGTGGAGAAATTTTATCTGAGATTCTCTCACAAGCAAAGCTACTTACATGCAGCGTCGCACCGACTTGACTCGATACAGCTGTGCCGTTTCCATATTTAAAGCCCAAATTTCACGGTTGAATATCGCTTCAGGCTGCCGAACCGGAAAAACAAATCAAGCACTTACCTCTGAATTATAGATGGTCTTATTTGAATTACAATAGGAGAGGAAACCTCACATTAATTCTATCTTATTATTTTAGTCACTTTAATATCTGTATGGTGATGTGTTTGTACGTTCTTCGTATATTTTGACCAATAAATTTTTCATGTGCACATGCAAAAGTTCCTAAATGACCACCCAAGGAATGATTTCGATGAAAGTCTTCGTTCGGCACGGCGATAAAAGATTTATTTGTTGTAACTCAATGTTCAATAATTGTTTTTGTAATACAAGGTTTGAATACACCTTTATGCACTTGTTCTTTCAAAATATAAAAACATACCTCCCACATTTGCTAGAATGATTCATTTACGGACAAAGATTTTCCCTTCAGCTGTTAAAACAAGATACCACGGTCCGCGAGCACCGGGTAACCGGCTATCAATTTGATACTGCTTTTGGCAGACTTATCAGCAAAATACAACTGTATTCTATCAGGTAGTTTAGACGTTTTGACCTGACTTAACAATTTCTAAAAAACCATCGGAAGGTTTGTCACTCACAGAAGGCGAATCCATGTCACCATTAAGATAATGGAAAATCTTTTACTTTGGTAGAATAAAATTTTAGCATTCTTATCAGCTCTGGACACTTTTTCTTGACAGCAATTTCCTTCGAGCCATTACTGTTAATCAACCCAAGTTTATGAGAAACTTCAATTTGTTCGCCTCGCAGTTTTTTCTTCCGCGAAGTAACTTGCAATAAATAAAGATTCTAAAATTAATTTTTTTGTTGACAAATGTATTTGATTTGTGGCTGAGAATGTATGAAAATATTGACAAATGCTTTCATTCAAAGTGAATTAAATATTTGTTTTTCGTTTCTTCTTCAGGGCAGTATTGGCCGTTGTTTCATTTCCCTCTACACAAAAAGGTACAAATTATCTGTTAGTAAAATCTTGCTTAGAGGAAAGTGAAGCCATCAAAGTGGTAATTAAACATGTTTATCACGTTCGAAGCAATTTTGCACTCAAAAACTACTTTTTAATCGGTCTTTATTATCTCTATCGAAAGATCAATGTTATTCGTTGACATGAAATTCAATTCGGCCACTAAATTTGCAATATCGTATTCAGTTGAAAATTGCGAGGGCATCCTTGTGAAAAGCAAATCAAATCGAATAAACGGAATTTTTGGTAGGATTTTGCTTTTTCCATTCGAATGAAAACTTTTCTTGAGAGCCAAATCCTCCTTTGTGAAAATAGGGATTTTAAAAGTGTAATGCCAGTTTGTATGTACGTCTGACCATAATCACCGCGAGGATAGACAAGATACCGCCCTGCTGGTACCTAATCAAGGCTAAAATCAGATCCATAAATATAGCATGGTTTTTCGAATCTTTGATCTTAATTATTATATTTTTTCATGTAACTCTTTTTGCTGTTTAGTCATTTTTGAATCAATAAATAGTGGTAGTAAAACCGTAGCGCAACTGGTCATGAAATATTTGATGAAGTATTTCACATTTTCACGATCCTTCTGTTAAAAAAAAAAGAGTATACTTAAAGAAGCAGCACTGTGAGAAAGAAGATTGCTGTTATAGATATCATGGGCATTAACTTCCTCCCGTAGCCCTTTCCGGGCCCTTGGTGATGTGATACACTAGAAGTCAGAGTATCTTGTCAACATCTCTAAATAGGCTTTTGTGACCTGCCGCTGGTATTTTCAATTATAATTACAATGGCCTTTAAAGCTAATGGAATAGACCCCTGAGAATTCATCTCTGCAATCGCTGTGTTTTTGAAAAAAAGATTCCTTAATTGATCATTGATTGATTGTAAAACTTAGACAAACTAATCTACTAGTTTGCAAAACCGGAAAATTAGGCCCATCCGGCTTTTGATCAAATATTGTCTCGAAAAGCCTTACGCTTACAAACTGGTTCCAGGTTTTTTTTTTTTTTAAATCAGGCAAGTCGTCTGAGTGAGCTCACAATACTTCAACGAGTGTTCGACTACTCGTAAGCAATATCTCTTCAGAATTGTACGTTTAAGTTCTGTTTCAAAAAAAGTAATGAGTTTGTGAAACATTTGCCTTTATTCCTGTTAGCTGGACACTTTTACTCTCTATGCAGTTCTTCTTAACAGAAATTTTTTTTTCAGTCAATGCTTCCTAAAAAAAGCTTTATCCAGTCTTTAAAGTTTGATTTAATGTGGTCATTGTATTTCGCTATCCCCTTGGACTTAAGCTCAGGTCTTTGACTTCATTTAACAGATGCGTGTTCCCTGACAAGAAATACTCATCGGAAACTTCTACTTTTCTTGTGATTTTGTCAGGGAAGAAGATTGATTTGTTAAGTTTGTCAGTAGACCGTGAAGTCCCTGGTTTTCGGCGAAAGCCGTCGCGCGAGTGAAACTGAGAAAACAGTTGATGCTTGCGTGCCGCGCGGAGCCCTGGGAGCGAGGCGCACCATGAATTTTTTTTGTTTCAGTGAACTCTAATTTTGACTCGCATAACGGACTTGGCCGCAAAGGAAGGTTTGCTGTTAGTCTACAGAGGATGTATTGGTGTAGTGTATCTAAGAGCAAAACAATTTTAAACCCTGACAAATGCTTCATATTTCCTTTAATGTTTAATCATAGTAACATAGATCATGGACAGCGCGAAGGTTTCTTTAATTTTATTGGATGAAAGATCATTGCATCACAGATACAGGGTGCAAAACTACGACGATGCCAGTGCGGCTTTTTAAGAAAAGATGTTTTTATATATCCTGTTTAGATTTTGCCGCGCCAAAATGAATCTAAGATGGCGGCTGAAACGTCTTATGCCAGCTAACTTTAGCGCGAAAATACTATTCTGCTCTCAGATTGAGAGCTGATCAGCAATCTTAGATCTAATAAATGAAATTAATTTGACTAAGGAGTAAACTTATTCGTGCACAATGTGATTTGATAAACAGATTAAAGGTATGTTTTATAAATACAAGATAGTCACGCCAAGAAAAACAATCAGGAGAAGTTTAAACGTGACCAGCATACGTCACAAGATTGTAATTCTTTAGATTTTGAAGCGCGATAGATGTCTTGTTATGCTTAAAACGAAAAGAATGTGCACGTAAAATTGATCATAAATATTTGCCTTTTAAAAATTGCTCACGTCCAAAGATCTTTGCGCGAAAATTAGAGTTGGAGAACTTTTGAGGTGATATTCAAGTGAACCGTTCTAAATCCGATCGATAGTAATACCGTTTCGACAGATTTTAGATCAAAAACAGAGATTGACTCAAATCAAATTATATTGAAACTAATCGCATTTATTTCTCTAGTTACCCATGTTGCTCAAATTAACAAGAGTTTGACTGATTACCTTATGTATTATCCTATTAGATGGTGCAATTTGAACAGCAACCTTAGTCAAAACGGTCGCATGTACGATACATGTTACATGCCATTACTCCAAACAGGAACTCAAAATTAACTTTAAATAAAGGAAACATCAAAAGAAAAGTTCTGTAACCAGTGTAAGAAACTCTGCAATTCAAAGAACTGAACAAGTAAGAATACAAGTGGACTACAAAAATAATAATAAAAAAACACGCCGGCCCGGCCTGTGTAACAAATTGTCGGCTGTCATCGAACAATTTCGGCTCCTTTTGCAAGAGCCCATAGCTTCTTGATAGCGACGAACATTTTCATTCTTATCAATTGACTCGATGCTGATTAGCTTTCTACCAAGTTAGTTAAATTTTGATATTTGCATCCATCATCTTAAGGTCTATATGATACTCATGCACGGAGAATCGTCTTTTTCCAAAATAGTTCATTGTAGCAAGAAACTGCTGTGATTGTTATTGTGCACCAAGGACCGAAGTTTCAAGAAACGATGCAAGCGTCTTTCGATTTCATTAACTTAGGTTCTTCAGAAATCTTTGAAAAGGTTCCAACTTCCCTGTCGCTGGATTTCCACCGATGCTGAGGGCAGTTTAGAAACCTAAGTGAGACAAATTACTGATCCGTACAGTCCTTCGCCTACAACGCTTCAGGCGCATCACCCCCAAGAAGTTAGTCAGTTTTGGAGACACGACGGTGACCTTTAACTTAAATGTTACTCTCCTTGGGTTTTCAACAACAAGTTCGTTCCTCTGGATATGTTTACACAACTTACCTCAAATGTACTACTTCGTTCGCGCAGATATCTTCGAGAGCTTGTTAAGGATTTGTTGAGAACTTTCAACCACCAAACCTTATACAGAATAACCATAATCACATATTAGCTGGATGAAGAAATACCTTATGTCGGGTTTTGTTTGATGCCCCGCCAGGAAAAAATGTCTCGTCAACACATCCTGGCCTGAATTGATTTATAAGCTGAAGCTATCTTATTTTTTGCCTCGGGAAATTTCCCAGGGTACAAAGTTTGTTACATCTGTACTCCAGCTTAATTATGATGATGGTATTTAAGAATCCAGCTTAGGATAAACTATTTTACTATTTGGAAAAATACGGTCAGAAATGATCTGGGCTGGGCAAAGCTTACAAAACAAATTGTATTAAAAACGTCTGGTTTTTGCATTAACCTCCAATAAGAGCGACAAATGCTAGTGTTATGATGAAGAGTTTACCAAAACCTGTTTACAAGTTAAGTTTTCGACGCCGCAAATACCTCAGCCTCAGATTTTATGACGACTATGGTTTACGACTCGCCTTTGAATTCACAGATTTAACGAACTTTACTGACCTGCAACTGAATGATGCAGTTCCTCGTCACACCTGAGCTGTGAACAGGAGCACTTCGAGCAATTTCTAAAGAATTCAAGAGTGCTTCTGCCTAAGTTATAGTTTGTGTGCACGTCAGTCCACCTTACTTCAATGTCTGCTTTACTGTTGATTTGTTTATTTTAAATGTTTGATAAGTAAACTCAAATGATGTTTCTTTAAGGATGTAGTATATTATTTCCGAGACTTTTAAAAGCCTGATGGTAACAACATGTTTACCGCCTAAGTCAAATGTCAAATCAGTTGCCAAATTTAGTCTTTTACTCCTGGAGATATTAAAAAATTCAATGACAAAAAAAGACTGTAAGTAAGGTATTTTTGGTAACGTCCTCATAAAACTTAATCATATACATTAATTTGTAGCCTAACAGTTAAAAAGTGTTTTCTTTTCACGCTAACCTATTTTAAATAACAATAACATTATGGACATTACACGTTTTTTACCAAACAACAATCGACACCGACCATTAAAGCTTCTTCAATCAACGTCAAGGTTCGCCTGTCTTTCGACATACGTATTCCCCTATGACGTGGCTTTTCCAAAGGTCTTCAGGTGTTCATTAACATGTTAGTTGGTCTGCTCACGTCTTTAAATCATTACTTATAATCTCATTATGGCACATAACGAATTCTTATCAGCTGACTGAGCAACTGCCTAGCTTGCGAATTGAACATTTCATCCTATGTTCCCTCACGAGCATACTTCAGAAAGGCCTAAAGTAGTGACGAGTACCTTTGAAGGGGCGAAAGGTATAACCTCGCCTTGGAGCAGCTATTTCTAAACAATTTCCTAGATGCTTGAGGCATTTTTAACCAATTCGCCACCGATTCGAAGACTACTTGACCGATGAAATAAAAAGGCCCACAAACGTTGGACTTTCCCTATCAAACTCTCACGGGTTAAAGTTTTACCCCCTCCTTGGGGAGTTGGGGATAAAAATTTCCATTGAAAAACATTTGTCACGCAGAAATCGTCATCGAATGCTTCCTCTTCCGAAAGGTTCAAGGTCCGGCTCTCTCCATTCTTCCGATGAATCAATAAATAGTGAGGTTGTTGGTATTTAATTTTGATTAAATTCGTATATGTGTTCACGAGTGAAGGATTAAATGGTCGAGGAATGAAAATTGCAAGACTAAATATTTATTTCAGTAACTCGCAATTGTTTTCCCTACATCAACACTCAGGAACACTCAGGATACAAGCTTTGGCCTGACCTTATATCACACAATTACCAAAGCAAAATGAAAATCAGGACAGTTTTTGGAGGGCTTACAAATGGCTCACAAACACCATGGAACCTTACAACTACAACATCATTAACTGATCCAAAACTCCGTTGTTGTGAGCCCTACTGTTATTGGGAAATCAATAAACGGATTTCTATCAGTTCAGTGAAAATAATCTTCACAGTTTGGGTTCCGTTCGTTAGTACTACACTCTTAATAAGGTTACACTCTTAATAAAGTTCAAGGACAAATTCACAGCTTAATGATACTCCATTTCAATCAGCTGGTTGACACCATCAATCACAAACTGAACGAGCTGGACCTCTGAGTACCCGAGCCTGTACTTGTTGGAGATATCATAAATAGCACTTGTGGTGTCGGAGTGCTCTCCGTACAGACCTCTCACCTGGAGATGGTTTTCATGGGACCATTTCTTCAGGCCATCTTCGCCCAATTTCTCCACAACTTTCTGCAGTTGAATTAGCACTCCGCCTCTCAGACCTGTTCCAAGATTTGTTGGGCAGCATGTGATCATGCCAAGATGCTCTGTTGTTTGAAAGCTTCTGTTGTCTAACTTCATAAGGAGCATCTCGATTGTATTTACCCCCTTGACTAGTGTTGTAAATACAGAGGAGACATCGCCACCTTGCTGAATGGAAATGACACGGATATGGTCCCCTTCATTGAGCCACACAGCAAAGGTATTCTTATGATTTAAGTAGATCCCTCGTCCATGTGGCCACCATCGATGGTATCCGCTGTCAGCTTGCATCTTGTCATTGCCCTTGAATAACAAGTGCTCCCTGACAAGTTCCTGTCTTTCCTCCTCGCTTATTTTGGCAAGTGAGTAATAATGCCCGGCCAAATCATCTTTCAGCTCGGCAAACACTTGCAACATCAAAGCTTCTATTTGCAACTTTTCTTCTTTGGAATTCTGTCCAGGAGCCAGATTGAAGCCAGAAATATTTCTCGCCACCCTGATTCTTGTGGAAATGATCTTGGATGGGTCAGTAATGTTGCCTTTCAGATGAGTGTGGTCCATATCAGTCACGTGATTGTCTGAAGGCTTGAACCCGCGGTGATACTCCTCGATGAGGGGATCGAAGAACTCTTCAAAGATGGTGTAGGAATCAACATCTCCGGCATGGCATCCAGTCAATGACTTCTCTTTGTTTAACACTCCAGTGTTCACAGCTCGAGCGATGGTAAAACCAGTGGATGTCTTTTTGTCCTTCAGCTTCTCGAAAATCTCCCTTGTGAGATATTTAGCCATCAGTGATTTCGCTCCAGATAAATCAGGGTATTCGTTTTTCTCGAGATTTGGATCAAGCTTGACATCATTTTGTTCAGCCAGGTTAATGTCATCTCCAAGTTTCATGGTCTTATCTTGAACGATGGTTTGGCCAGCATCCTGTAAAATCATATTGTCACATTTAGGAATCTCCTAATTTTAAAATTGCTATTGCAACATCAAGACATTTCGCTCTGCAATTCTAAAGAAACCGATGCATCCCAAGGTAATCAAGAGGTAAATTCAAAGTGATTTGATTCCATTCTTTGCCGTTTTGGCCGTTTTTAACTATACTCAAAGATAGTGTACATATTTAAGCCGAATGTATTCCGGATATCCTTAAATTCTATATATGTTTCAAGTGTGAAGTAGCGTAGTTACCCATCAGAGAGATGGAAGTTGCAAAAAAATAAATTTCCAAAGTTGTCATTCTCACTACGGAAGATGCAATCTGCACAAACCTGGACTCTGCTGAAATTATGGTGAACTGTGTGATTTACGAAAAAAAATGTGCTGAGATCTTCTCGACGAGGCACCTTCTACCGCTTTGATTTCAACGAAATCGACCGCTGAGACAAACAGTTCCCACATCCCTATATGTCACGGATCATTGAACCTTCGAGCGGTCTGATCTTCGCGAGCACAACGATAACACGAAATTAAACTGGCCGTCATTGTTTACGACTATAGTTTATAAATTTTGTTGTATCGATCGCCACTCAAAAGGACCTTAACAGATAGGAAATACCTTGCAAAATTAATCGATCACGTCAGGCCGTTTTCTTTTATTTACCCACTGAACCGTAAAGACACCGAGGTCTGTAGCGAGGCATGTAAGGTAAAGGCTATAAATAGATTCCTCGTACAGGAAAAGAACATTCCTCGGCCCAACAATTCCATCGAACAACGTTCGTCACGCTCTCTGAATATCGTGACAGTATGGATTTGCATGCAGTTTAAAGTCATAAATAAAAATCTCCTCTTTCTGTCGCTAATATTGGAGATAAAAGTCTGTAAACTTTAGCAGTATTTTGAATACAAGAAACCGATATTTACTTTGAAAAACAATAGGAAAATGACTAAATATGAAACAGATACATTCTATTGCTAAAGATTTGTGAACAGTTTCCCTGTTCAAATGGATCAGAAAATTAGAACTTGTATCATTACTTATGCAGCAAACCGAACCAAAAAAAAACGACGTGTAGCTAGCTTCATTTTGTGACATAAATGTCAAGACTTAAGTTAGTGCTTCTCAGCATACATTTCTACCTTATTTTGTGGATTTGAAGCCATTGTAACGCAGATATTTCGCGACAGATCTCTGAATGCCTTGCGACGTCTGATCAGATGAAGGAAACTACTGCGACTGTAAATAGATGGAACGTATAAATATGCCCAATCTTCCACACCAAATATGGTAGTAAGATTTTTAAACGTTCTCAGTTTTAATTAAATGTCGACCACAGATGCACTCAAGGACACCGGTGTTTTGGCGAAAAAGTCTTCTGATTATTCAATTGAAAATGACACTTGTGAACGACCAGCCACATGAATAGCAAGAGAAAAATACATTTTTGGAGGGAAACAGATGTCGTGATAGCTTGATTTCACGCTAGACATATCAATTCACGCAGGTACCGAAACGAAAAATATCGTCTCTCTGTCAATCCAACAGCTATTTTGACTGATGCTTGCTAAGGACTTTCGTCTATTATGAAAGTAAACACTTGCAATGGCTTACAAAAAACCATCACCAGGAATTGTGATAGAGAAAAGGACTGCTGGAAAAAAAACAGACGTGGAAAGCCTTGGTTCATGTGCCCAAAAAGATAACATACAATCTGTAATTTCAGTAATACAATATTTTGAATTTTATCTGAGATCAATAAAACGAAACTAGAAAAGAGTAAAGATTGAAATGTTATTACTATCTGTGTACTCATTTATTGGTTTTGATACTAGGATTTTCTCAGTTTTTTCTTCAGTTAGATTTTACCAATTAAGTCAATTTTTCTTCTTTTTCACGAGGCCTTATCAGTAGATTGTAAAGTAGACGAAGTTCAAGAAGCATCTTAGCCAATGCCGCTGCAAAACTTTAATATGTTTCACTAGCTATGCCAACGAGAACGTCCCTCCTAGACTAGGGAAACGATTTCTCCAATCGATAAATCGTTATACGTCTCCAAATAAACTTTGCCATCGTAGGTAATACGGACGGACCATCCTATGAATGTGTTGACAAACTATCAACATAAAGTGTACAGTGAGAACCCGTTAATAAGACATCACGGTGATGGTTATAAATGACACACTGAATGATACAATTTTCAACGAATTAAACTTGGTTTGAAAATTTCAGCAACGCGAACTGGAATGTTAATGTTTCGAAAGGTGTTTGTTTTCCGCCACTCTAGCTCGTTCAAAGCGCTGTTTTCTACAGTCACTTTCGACCCTATTTCATTAACATTAACTGTCACACTTCGTAATGGCAAAAGCTGTCAAGTTTTGTTATAATAGATCATCGGATTTTGTATAGGTAATCGCATGGGGCCGAGTAAAATTAAGGATTAATATCACGCGTGGTTTTAGAAGTTGCTGAAAACACAAGTGATATTAATCCTTAATTTTACGAGGACCCATTGCGATTACTTGTTAATGAAATTGAGGGGAAAATTACTGAATTTCTGAATGCGCTCTTCAGTAATCAGTCGGCATAAAACTGCGCCAGTGTTCGGTCGAGGACATGGCTCTCGTACTCTTTTAAATTTGCTTGGAAGTTTCTTTCATTCGCCCACTTTTTTAAAACGTTGTTCCAGTACTCCGTGCTTTTCCTCGTGTTTTCGTTTTCACTCTTGTCTTTTAATTCTTCGATAAATTCCTCGTCAACTATCTCGAAACGAGAAGCCATTGTTACAGAAAATCTTCAGCAACAACTTTTCGATAGCATAAGCTGTTGCCAGGCAACCTGAATACCAATCATGAGCTATTAATTTTGCTCTCTTGTCAAGCAAATTTAGGAAAAATACCCTTTTCATTGACCAATCAGCATCCAGTAATTTTGCCTTCTATTTTATTAGTACTAAGAAATGCTGTCGCACTCTATAACGACATCTGTCGAACTTGATGGTCTGGGGACAAGTATTCCCGATACTAATGGGCGTGATAGTGATAGTCACGTGATGCTGATAAAGGCGGCGAGAACGAAAACGAGGAACCACACTAATAAAACTCCCCGCTACGAATAGTAGAAATCAATGTTAACAGTATTTGTGAGCGAGCTTTTGCGCCTTAAGAGGTCAATTATGGCATAAAATGGCGTTTTTTATCGTTTTCTGCGGAACCAGTATTTTAAGCGGCCAACCTATGCGGTCACCCCACCATTCCCCGACAAAGTACATTGCAACACAACTCTTGTCGACAGGTATCACCTAGTGCGACAATTTTATTACACAGTGCACCGATTATTACAAAGCGCGACAGAGCACTGACGGTTCCTCCCTGTCTGGTGAAAGTTAAATAACACGTCACCTAAACTCTTAGGTTTCCTCTGCTTTTGCTCGCTATGACCAGATGTTTCTGGTCTGCATGTTTTACCGTTGGTATAGGTAGGAGTATCTTATTCAAGGGGACTGATTGCCTAAACGGTTCAGGAATATATTTGGTCCCCCGGCTAATGCGATGAATTACAACTGCAATCTTGGCACCATGATGCTAAAGAAATGTCACATATCTTTAATGCTGATTCCACAGCCAAAGAATCTGGAAACGGTTTCTGATCATCCCAGGCTCACTGATACGTTGAGGCGGTATTTCAAACGTAGACGTTATACTTAACAATTATTCCACGAGCGCGCGTTGGATATGAAATGATAGACAGCCAACGAGGCGCGTAGCGCCTACCTGGCTATAATCATCTTATATCCAACATGCGCGAGTGGAATAATTGTTTTATTGGAAACGCCCCCAAGATATTAGACAAATCTTACTAAATCTTAAATTTCTTAGCTCCCTGTTAATTTTAAGCTGACGCGTACGCTTACCATATTTGTAGATTATGGTGTATTGGCTCACATACCATAATGGCTAAGCCAATAAAAAGTCTTGAATTGCATTATCTAATGATCCAGTTTTTAATAAAGAAATATAATCACTATGACAAACACTTTCATTCCATCAGCGCCGTAATCTGCAAAAAATCCTCTTATTCTTGGCAAAAATGACATCGCGATGAACAGGAGAATTGGACCGAAAGCAACCAAACCAAAAAATGACCTGTTGTAACCTTACATGGAGAAGGAAACAGAAGAGTTCCGAGTTAAAAACTAAAAAATTACTCACGGACTCAACGAAATGATTCCGCCCGCCTCATGCAATAAGCGGTTGGAAATATCGTCTTTGTTCTTTACAGAGGAGGGACTGATCGCTTTGCAACCTAATTTACGGACTTCAATCTTGAGTTCATTAGTCGGCACACTGCCACACTGCTACAGTGGTATGAATTTTTAACACCCGGCTAATTCTGATGAAAACAACAACGGCTTACAAAAAAAATTTGTAACGCGCACATGAAAACGAAGCCGCCTCAGGTCTGCCATCAACAAGACACACAATGAACTGCCGAGACAAAATTGAAGACTTCACCACTGTTTTCCCCTGGATAAATTACAGAATCTTTCCACAAATCTTCCCTGAGGAAGAGAGGATTGTCTCTTACCCTAGGTTAGCAAAATCACGGTTCACACAACAACGCCGAGAAGAAGAACTTTTGAGTCAGTAATTAGGTTACTCAAAGACTAGTATCATTGACTGAAGCACAGTCATCGAGTATACTGGTTGTTCTTCCTTTTACGTGCTCTAATTTTATTTTGGGAGTACCTTCGTTTGAGGTCCAGGAGCGGTATTTGCATTTTGTTCCTCCTTGTTTGGATCTGAAGCCAAATTGGAAGTGCTCGCCTTGGTTTGTAAATCCGTAGCCATTTGTGAACGACACGAACCCATGCGATTGGGCTTCTAGATGAGATGCTGAGGAAATAAAATGAATATTCACCATCACAGAGGTCGACGTTTGTTGCAGACCACTTTGACCACTGTCATGTTGTCGTTAAAAGGGACCACGCTAAACCACTTTTGATTTGTTAATTTTAACACAATTATCAACGTCAAATAAAACGATTCAGTGTGTGACCATTGCGTGACAACGTGACGCGAGCAGTGTTTTTAAACTGCTTGCTTCTCTGAGTAATCAACAGAACTGTGACAAAATATACACAATGTAATCTTTGCTTACAGAATTTACAACAGAATTCGAAAGCACCTGAGCAATTATGCTAGAACAATTATTCGCCTCAGGCCCTATAATCCCCCGACTGCGTTTCAGGGATTATTCAACATTATTACCCAACTGTGCTACGCAGAGTGTAAATGACGCGCGAGACGAATACAAATATAACGCGATATTTTGTACTCCTGCAGAAGTATCCGCGAAATTCGCTCGCACTGAAATAACAATTTGGCGTGTTGGATAATATATCTCTTATTAGACGTTTTGTTGTGCAGTATCGCTGAGTATTTTTACTTGTCGCTTGTATTTTGACTCGCCCTACGGGCTCGCACAACTCGTAAAAATACTCAGCGATATTACACAAGAAAACGTCTAATATGATATAATATTCACTTCGCTCTAGGTGGATAATTGTTAACTAACATGTACGCAAAAATTTTAGCAAGATCATTTTTTAAGACATTTAAGAATAAATATTAGCGAGAAAAACACGCAACGTTTCGATGACTCCATGTCATCATTCTCAAGTGAGAAGAGAATAAAAATGACATTTATGAACTCAACACGCGCAATTATTTATTTAAATTTAAAAAAAAAAATTTAACCTTTTACGTTTGTCAACTTCGTACGGTATAAATTAACCATTCATTTTTATTCTCTTCTCACTTGAGAATGATGACATGGAGTCATCGAAACGTTGTGTGTTTTTCTCGCTAATATTTATTCTTAAATGTCTAACAAAATCTAATGTCATTCGAACACTTTTTAAGAAGACGTCAAATTATCCCAAACTGTACAGAAAGTTGAAATTGAGTGCATGGATTGAAGAAAGCTGAAATTAATTCGGTTGACAGGAGTCCGAAACCACAACAAAACAAAATGGCGACCATGCGACAACGTTTTAATCCAGAACAAAAACACCCAACAACGCACTAACCACTGGCTTAAAGTTAGAAAGCCATGGGCATCCAAAATTGACCATGACAAAAGTATTGAAACTTAAGAAGGGCCCTGAGCAAAATTCTCTAGAAGAATATGCAACAGTTCGTACGACAGACGGGGGGATTAAATGCGTGTGTGATAGCCGTCGTGGATTAGTTACTGCTATCGCGCGAATTCTATTTAAACGAGAAAGAATGCAAACTCTCAATTATTCTTGTGGGAAAGCCTCGACGACTTCGGCAACAACACGAAGGGAAGCGACCGTACCAGTGAACTAAATACACGGCTGAGCCGGCATGAAAAGGGCTTATGCTGATTTATCCCGAATTGCACTCGAAATTATTTGATTACCACACGCTGTTACGGCACGCTTTTTTTGCAAAAGAAGAAGACCAACAAACAAGGTAGCAAGTAGTTGCAACAAAGTAGTAAAACTTACATACTCGCAGCTTTTCCTTTGAATTATGATTTCAGCTAGACAGATGTTAGTCTTAGTCACTCGCCGCACAAACGGTAACCAAGGTATTTCACTGTTTCTGGCCTTGTCCCCAGAGGTCACGCTCCGCCAATACGCTGTGAGTGCCATTGTTAACGTGACACGATTCTTGTCATGGACTCAGTGCGCAGGCGTTAGTTAGCTTGAAAACATGGTGGCCGAGCTAGGCCCTGCGAGGCTGTTCCGTTCTCTCTCGTACAACTTGGGCAGCAGGAGTGGCAACTAACATCAGAGCAAATCAAAGGGCAAGATTTCCGTATAAACCCATCCTTCATTCTGCATACAATTCTTGGATAAAAGAAAACAGAAGCAAAACAACAGCTTACCTTTGGGACTTCGGCTTTGTTTTTGATTGGTCTGGGGTTATACGAAAATCTTCAGAATACCCGTCAACATCATTTACATACGTCGGGAGGCTTTGAAGAATGAGGTATAACACAATAGACGCTATTCTTATTTAATGACATGTAAATGAGTGGCCGGGTATTCTGAAGTTTAGCTGAAAATCTTTCCAATCAAAGCCATAAGAGAAATCTTTGTTACCCAAAAAGATGTCTTAGCAGCGTCACCAACTGATTATGGAAAATCTCTCTTCTATCAAGTTCTGCAAGTAGTGTTGGATTTCCTTCGTGATCTCCAAGGCTCTGACAGAGCCGTAGTAAATTATCGTGGTTTCACCTTTGAATACTTTAATGAGGGACTACAGAGTGAAACTGGAAAGTTTCCTCCATGTGTGTGTATTACAAATTAAAGCTTGACGAGAGAGGATGGAGAATGTAAGAAAATGCAGTTTGGTGTTCGGAAACTTAGAGGTATTCGTGAACAAGAACTTTGCTAAATTTCTGAAGTAACCCAAGGGCAATTTTTAAAGACGAGGCTCATTAGGTGCTGCAATGGTATGTACAAAATCGTGTATGCAATTTCAAATGAAAAGTGATGTTAGTCATGATTCAGTTTTGTTTTCTACTTGACTCTCGGCTCATTTTTGTATATTTCGTTATCCTTGAGATCGTTTTGCTAGGGTCGTATAGTTGAACGAGAAAAATCTGCGATCATCCGTTTTCTCCTATTGTGCCAACATTCAAAGATGAAAATAATGTTCATCTTGAACTGAAATTTTTTCTGAACGTGGGTAAAAACTGAATTACCTTTATTTTTCTTGTTGAGCAATTAGCTCATGCGAGTGCCAGATTTCTCCCACCACTTTGTAGATTAACACTTCAATAGGATGTGAGTGGCATGATAGTTACTTTTTTTTTTTGGCTTAAGGTCCTCCTTCAGGCCAGCATATAGGAAGATTGGGGTTTTGGCGAATTTATTCCCATTAGTACCAGTTGTTGATCTGACAGGAACTGCAACCAAAACCACAAAAGTCTGAATAATAGAAACAGTGGGATTATATGACCCACTGATAAGTGAAAGAAATGCAGACAAGCCCTACATTTTCCATGCCTCACACATCCATCACTAGGGGTGAAACTGAACTCCATCTCGGCCTCCATAGTTGATCAGTTGAGAGCTTTCAAGTTAGAAATGCCTTTCTCACCAATTTATGGGAGCCTCAAAATTATTTCCGATTGCTCATTTACTTTAACACGGAGATGGGCAAAGACCAGTAATTCCCAGAAAATGTTGAATCTTTGGTCAAAAACAGGTTGTTTACACAATACAATGCTCAGTGCCCCAAGAATTAATGTACCAGAATTGTTGAGGAACTTGTGAAGTGTACTTCAACTCATTGTGTTCTGTTTGAAACAATTACTTTTGGTCTTCAGTAGACTGTAGTAATATTCAACAAATTGTACACATTGGGGTTCCTTATACCATGGAGATTACCATCAAGAGGTGGGTAGACTGGTAGAGATGGTCTTCTAGTTAGGGTTGATATTTGCTTTAGTTCATAGGACATTTCAAAATTGAAAAAAACATGACATGCTATGAGAAAGGAAAATAATACTGAGTTACTTTGACCACAAATTTTCTCCATTCTAAGGGCTTGCACATGTGTGTTCTCAAAGTCTTTTACATTGGGCAAAAGTGGCTTTGAATTATCAAAATCTTTGCAGGAGACCAAGTCAAATGTAATATAATGGGTTATTTAGAGGGGATCAGAGTTACAGTGATTGGAGAGTATAATGTTTGCAAGGACTCTGAATTCTAGGGAAATGAATAAAAACCCAAATGTCTTGACCAAATTCCACCTTGGCCTTGACATTTCACCCCAAGCTGTCCATTGAGTTTTGAAGACTTTCTCTTCACTGATTTATGCCTGACTTATTCAATCTCTCAGAGGCCTAAGATTAGATGAAGCTTGATAATATTTAATTTACAAAAATATATTTAATCTAGGTGAGCATGAAATTGCACTGTTTGGACATTTTGATGTACTATTATAAAATTACCTTCGGATATTTTATGATGTATGATGGCAACAGGAGGGTGTTTAGACCCTAAGGAATATAAATGATTGATTTAAATGTAACTTATAAATGAACAAAAAAGTTTAAAGAAGATTACAGTAAGTAAAGTTTAATATATTTACCCTTTTGGTGGCATTGCTAACCCTCAATAAAACAGCATTTACTCTCTGGAAAAGAAAGAGTTCCCTGCACATTACATACATCAGAATGCTGTAGGCTGTGCACAAGGGAATTACTTGTGGACCTAATTTATTCTTCAGTTTTGGATTTGTTATTATATATAGTAGCACACAGGAAATCCAAGACATCTGGGGTGCTGTTCTTTGCCATATAATGGCTTCCCAAGAAAAATCCACAAGAAACTTGTGTTGTGAAGTGGGAACATAGAGTACTAATGTTTGTGTAGGTGATCTGCCACAAAGTTTCAGCACACTGGTCATCTGCTTCTTTGAAGAAAAGACCTTTTACGGCCTTTCACAGGGATGTCACTCTCATAACAACTTCAGTGAGCACCTAAAATGTGTTTCTTCTCTTCAGTAATCAAGATGCCATTTTTGGATAACAGCTTGTTCAAAGACAATGTATCAAATGGATGTTAGGAGACTAAAAAGAAAATGTACATTAAAATTTACCTAAATGCTACAAAAATTAATTATAATCAAAGTAGATTGCCAAAATAAATCAGGTTCTCAAGAAAGTGGACAAAAAACTCAAACATTACTTTGACAACAAACTATGGGTTTATGTCGAATTAATTTGATGGCCTGCTCCCAGTTGGCTTGTTAGCTCAATTGGTAGAGCGCTGCACTAGTATCGCAGAGGTCAGTGGTTCGAATCCCGTACAGGCCTGAAATTTTTTTCAGGTCTGATTTTCACTATTGCTCAAATAGTGCTTTACTGCGAAGGATCGTGCTCATATACGTCTCATAACCGCAGTTCACACATATGTTTCATATGTTTGTTGTTGTTAAACTATTAGTAGTTGTGTCATTAGTTATGGCTAATAGTTTATCTCAAAAACAAATTATGCAAGTGTTTTATATCAAGTGTTAGATACAAGTGTAGTCAGTGTGACCTAGTGGTAAGGGTGCTGGACTTGTTATCATGCGGTGAACTGGGTTCAATTCCTCCTTCCTGCTACTGAGTGGAATTATTCTCACTCACCCTGAGTTCAACTTGTCAGCTGCACTGTGTAAATAGCCAACTGGTCTGTCTCCTGCTATTTGGAATTTCTCAAAACAATTTAGGTTTGTTTGAAATATTTGTTTGTTTGTTTAGGTCCGGCCCACAATGCAAGCTACTGAGTCCACCAGTAATTGTGATAGCCGTTAAAGTCTATTTTTTTGGTAATTTTTATATTTTTTTGTCATTATTTCATCAGTGTAGGTTATCTTAGCCACCTACAAATGTACCAAAAACAATCAATTGAGTCAAACTTTCCAAGTAGTATCACAACACTTAATTCTAATCAAACAAGATAAATTACTTACAAGCTGTGTTACTACATTTTTCCACGAAAAGTCAAATATTTTTTTCAGGGGATAAACAAAAAGATTCAAGGTACTGTACTTACAAGACATGCCAGGTGTCCCTGTCACCTCTAAAATCTCACGGCAAATTGTACCGCTGTATGTTATGCAATTTACAAATTAATTTTCATTGTAGAACAAAATACGATGAAAGTTGTTAATAATGTGAATACAATGTCCAACAGTGAAGTTAAAGTGACTTTTAGTTCATCTTATCAATTATAATACTGATACAGTAAAAAACCCAATCAACTTGAAAGTTATTGACAGACTACTGTATAACAGATTATTTAATTTATGATCAATTCATCAACCTCTATTATGAAGAATGCAGTATGCTAGCAGTATTACACTTTGACTCTGCCGAAGAGAGGGAGCTTTCTGCAGAGACTTTGGAAGAGTTATTAAACCTTCCTCATTAATATCAGAAGCAATCTCTTTTGGGAAAATAAGAGAATACCTCAGCAGCCCTCTGCAGGCTAGCAGCCTAGCAGCTGCAAGCTAGCAGCTGCAAGCTAGCAGCTACAGCCTAGCAGCTGCGGGCTAGCAGCTGCAGCCTAGCAGCTGCGGGCTAGCAGCTGCAGCCTAGCAGCTGCGAGCTAGCAGCTGCAGGCTAGCAGCTGCAGCCTTGCAGCTGCGGGCTAGCAGCTGCAGCTGCAGCCTAGCAGCTGCAGCCTCATTTGCATCGTTGTATTTACCTCGGTTCACCTCCCACGAATCAACAACTGAGGTATTCTCCATGCGCCACCATGGCAATGGAAAAAGATCAACGACTTAAACAGATGATCTGATTTGGATGAAACATTTGATGGTCATTTATCTCATGATTTATTATCTCCCGATGGGAACCGCAGATATAGAGATATCCTTTAATTAACAGTGGAGCTTTTAGAACTTTAAAACTGTATCCCATTATTCTTTAAGAACAAACAAATCTTCAAACATTTATTTTTCTTGTTTTGACATTTCCTTCGTAACTTTTCTTGAAATATTTTTCATTGAAATGCATTAATTTTTTAAACGTTTTTGATAATGCCTTTCTTGGTAATGGTCAGATGTAAGGGTAATAATTTAAATCTTGCTACTGATACCTTCTTTGAATAGCTCATTTCCGAATTACCCTTGGCCTCTTTTTCAAAACGAGGCCTGGTGCTCAACCATTCTTGTGAAAATGAGTGTATTCGGGTTTTTAAAAAAATTAAAATCTACAGGTATATTATAAGAATCATTACAGCTTTTGACCACATTGTATTCACCACAATAATGCTACAAAGCGCTGGAAAGCATGGATTACATAACACCAAGTTTACTATGTATGGAGGTGACATTAATGAAAAAATACATCAGTGTTACTTTTGACAGTCGCTGCATGCTCAAATCCGTCTTATTGATGCCAGATATTAAGACTGTTTAACACTATTCAGGCCTTTTGATAGGGTGCGATAAGAAGATGTAAATCGTGCGATTTGTTTTCAGCAAATTGTGCGATAAAAAAACGGGGATTATGTGTTTTTATGACTGTGCGATTTTTTCTGAGCTATTTCAAGCTTGTTTTATTAGGTTTTAAAGACCAAAGCATCTTTTTCACTCTTCAGAAGACGTGAAAGCCATCTTCTACGTCTTTTTATTGAACTTGTGCAGATATTTTGCAATTTAACCCCGTTTTTAGACGTTGGTCGCGCGCGTCCATTATGGCGTCTATGTTACGAAACGTCTTACGTATTTGGATCGAAAGTGAGTTTCTATTTGAATAATCTTAAAACAACACGTTGATGGAAAATGTGTTTCGAAGGTAAATCCTGTTGAAACGACCTGTAAATAAGGAATTTTTTTACGATAAAGTGTTGATTTATCGTTTACCTTGTGGAGTTTGTTTTCAATTTTTTATGAATTACGCGATTTTCGTGAATTGTGCGATCGGATACGATTCGAGGTCGATTGTGCGAAATCGCACCATCGCGTTCTATCAGAAGCCCTGACTATTGTCTCCTAATGACGACAGCTTTAATCGTATTAAGGAGGCAGTGAAAGAGCTGGAAATATTATAGAGGGAAGGATCACTTTAGAGGGAGTATACTGGGCTCCAGCTAAAGTCTAAATGGCCTGGCACCACGATATTTATCTGAACTACTTGTTGTAAAGCCTAGAACTAGATAGAGCCTGCGGTCTGATTCTGAAACATTGCTGCTAATCCCTAGGGTGACACGGATTACTTTTGGTGATCGAGCCTTTTTCCATGCTGGACCAACAGGATGGAATGCCTTGCCATCTAGTCTTGGAAACTGTAGGAACATTGACTCTTTTAAAGCACAGTTGAAGACTTGTCTTTTTAAGAAAGCTTTTAATTTTTAATTTTATATTCTTATTACTAGTATTATTTATGCCATCTAGCCCTAGATACTATGTGAACTTTGACTTTTTTAAAGTACAGTTGAAGACTTATCTTCTTAAGAACGCTTTTAATATTGTATAGCGCTTTAGAGTTTTTTAAATGTAATATATTATAAACCTTTATCAGTACAGTAGGGGGGGGGGAGACCATTTCCAATCTTATTGCTCATGGGCAACAAAGCGTTTTTCTGATTAGCTTTCACAGATTGTGTCACTTCTCCGATCTTCCAGCAGTAAAGCAACGAGTTTAGAGCTGAATTTGAGTAAACTAAAGTCGCTGTAAATTGTCTGAGCGCTGCAACAGACATTGACTGTCCACTTTAGGTCCACAAAGCTGTAGTTATAGCATAAGGAAGATAACGAACAATTACTGCTAACTGCAGCCACATTACACTGGACACTCCTTTTCTGTATCGAGAAATGTTATTGGCCCTGAACTTGTATTGCTTGATTGCCTAGATTGGACAATGTTTCTGTGTACTTGAATTTCATGGCGGTGGAGTTTCCTGGAAATCATTGTGTAAGAAAAAACTGAGGTTACGGAACTAACAGGTATCACTATATGGGAGTACCAAGTTGTTATACGAGCATTATGTGCGTGCAACACGGAGCATACCGTACACAAAATCCAGACCACAAGAACGATCGCTCGTGCTCTGTTCAGAGTTACAATTTGTTTGTATCTCAGTCCCAATGACAGGGCAAGAAGTCTGTTCACGCTTATTGCAGTCAATGTCAACAAAGATACGCCACAAAGAAGATAACCCACTATGATGTTCGTGAAAAACGGAATTTTCCTTCTGTGACGTTTGTAGTGCTGAATGTCGATCAATAAGTTGGGCGCAGTGGTGACCCGCTTGAACGACAGAATCAGGGTAACCACGTTTTTCGAAAAACTGGCACATTGACTCTGATTTGTGGGAAAAATCAGAGTGATCACTACATAAACAACGAAGTCTTAGAAAATGAGAAAAGGGAATGGAGTTCTTAACATGAGATGGATGCGATGATGAATACAACAAGTAACTATGTGAGTCTGTATGTTTGTAATACACACTAGTGGATAAACCGTTGCCTTCAATTGAAACTTTGATATCATCTAAAAAGGATAAAGAATTTTCGGAAATTTCCCAGGTATATTTCAGAGCCAGGTGAAAAGAATTGACTGCGGTTATGAATTGAGTAAGTTCCTCTCTGGTAGAGGAGGTAGCGCCGATACAGTCGTCGATGTAGCGACCGTAGAGTTCAGGTTTGGGGCCAATCATTTATTGGCTAAAAAAATTGGTGTTCAACAAAACCTACAAAAAGATTGGCATAGCTGGGTCCCATTTTGGTACCCATCATCCTTGTCTGAGTATCTGTTTGCGTGTCTGTATGTTTAGCTTTCTATCTGTCTGCATTTTTGTCTATCTCTCTATCTTTCTGCCTGACTGTGTCTGTTCTTCTGTTTGTCTGTCTTTTGCCATGTCTGAGTATCTGTTTGCGTGTCTGTATGTTTAGCTTTCTATCTGCCTGCATTTTCGTCTATCTCTCTATCTTTATGCCTGACTTTATGTCTGATTTCCTGTTTGACTATCTGTCTGTCTGTCTGTCGGTTGTCCTGTTCGTTGTTTGTCTGTCTTCGTTTGTCTATTTCTCTGTCTGTGTGTCTGTTTCTCTGTCTGTTTATCATTCTGCGAATAAAGGATCTGTTTGTGACCTGTGACCTTTTGAAATTGGTGTTCCCTCTCCCTTCGTTCTAGGTTAATTTGTTTTTCTTTGTTCGATTGCTTCAGAGTGTTCGACATGATTTTCTTGTGATAATGAATCCAGCTTGGAGG